AACTGGCTACATGGCAGGCAAATTACCCTTTCTTTTGAAAAGTATAGCGTTCTTTATATCAATTCAAAAGGATTCGATCTTCCTAATCTTTTTTATTAATGGCAATATAATTAGAAGAGTCTCACACATTTCCGATCTTGGAATAATTGTGGATGAAAATCTTGATTTCGATCTTCACTGCAGAACCATGGTAAAGAAATCCTCAAAGATACTTTAATTTTAAGTTTAAATTTAAATTCTAAATATTAATTTTCGTTCGTTTAAGAACAAAGCTGGAGGTTTTCTTATCAAAATGTACAAAGAGTTCGTTCTCTTCTTGACTACAGTACGGTTATTCCCTGAGATATCGCAAATAATCAAGCAAAATAATTGAAGGAAAAACTTCAAAAATATTTTATATGACGCTTCTCTCCTAATAGCAATTTTAATTATAAAATAAAACTTCTATAATACACTATAATACACTAAAACTTCTATAATTCGTCGAATTAAACAAGATTTTATTTATACTTATTAAACTAGATTATTCGAAAAATTATAATTTTAGGCTAAATTTGGATCCAACAAGAACTAATGGGCCAAAATTACTAAAACCTATGTGCAAAGTTAAACTAAGGGCTCAAGACTTCTTTATTCGCACTATTAATTACTGGAATAAATTACCGAACATAGCTTGTGCTTTATCCTTAGCTATCTTTGAAAAAAGATTAGATATTATGATGTTATTTAAAAAGTTCACATCATGCAGGAAGTGTGAAATCTCGATTTTTACCATCCGATTATATATAATAGTTATTTCGAATTGTACTGTATTATATTATTCTATAAATTCTCTTTATTTCCTCTTTAAATTGTTAATTTTTGTCATATTTTCTTTTTTTTCTTATTATTAATTTTTATTATTTGTTATTAATACAAGCATATTGCTGTTATTAATACAAGCATATGGCGTTGGCCCTGCTTGGCTGGTTTTCAATAAATAAATAAATACTCTCAGCCAGAATTCAATCCATTCTCATTTTTTAACTTAACCTTATTTGCCTTCTTGACCCAATTATTATACTGTTGAAATATACTATTGCTATAATTCAACGGCTATAAATAAAAGTTTTCCTTCTGGACCCAAATCAACTTTCACGACAATTTTTATTGGTGCCACCAGCCGGGAAACATGATGACAAGCTTAACGAAAGCACGCAACCAGCAATAACAAAACTAATTAAACTCCTGAATGAAGTAAGAAATTTGGATTTATCGCCACTGAATCAGGAGCTGCCGTTGGAAGAATTATGTCAATGATATGAAACAAAAAAAGAATAACCGAAGAAAAGCTAAGATGCTTCGAAATATACAGTGGCTATTTGGAACTAGTCAATACAAATGGTTGGACTATATCAATACAATAGTTATTCCGAAAAAAAGAAGGAGGAAGAAGAAAACTACGCCCAAATGGCCGACAATGAAAAAGGTATTTTGAACTTAATAACTGACAGTAAAGAAGCTGTTATTATACTAGGCATGTAATTTCGAATCAATAATTGAATAAATTAAAAAATCACATTTAAATAAAGAATCTAAGCAAAAGATTTAACTAAAACAGCTATCGACAATAAATTTGCAGCAATTACCGCTACTACTATTTAGCGGAAACCCTAAATTATGGAGAGGGAGTAGTTTTGAAGCCACTGTATATTCTCAAACAATTCCAGACACAGAAAAATTAAATTATTTAGTCTGCTACTTAAGAGGAAAAGAGTTCAGAGCTATGAGAGATTATGATATCGCACCGGAAAATTATCAAGTCATATGGAAAGTTTTGATTGGAAAATTTCGGGAGATTTCCACTATTAAGAAATCTCTTTGTAATATACTGTCAAAAGGCATAATCGAGACTGGAAAACGATAGTCGAAGCAATCGAAAGAATTCTTTGTCAACTAGAAACTGTCAGAGAAAATCCTGAACACTCGACTATTGAAATACTCATTGAAAGCAAGCTACCAGGATGGATATTAGACAAAGTATATCAACAAAAGGATGATGAGAAATCAAGCCTCAAACACCAACGGTGAACGACAATTAACCAAGTTTAAATCCAAAAGTCGGCAAAAAAGAAATTAAGGAGAAACCCTTTTGCATTGGCAATAATCAGTCAACCTGGTTCAGATAAGTTTAATTTAAAATTATTTCAAATTTATTTATAGAGAAAGGGTTAAACGGAAATGATAAGAGAAGATCATGTTCGTTTAATAATAAAGAGCATTGGGATAGCCATGGTGAAACTTATCCTAGCAAAGATTAAAACGCTAAATTAAGATCAAAGACTGTCGAAAATGCCTCAAAGGCGGATATACAGAGGCTCGACTGTAAAAATCAGTGAAATGTTTTTATCGTAAAAAATCACACAACAGAGCATTCTGCGACAACAGACCTCAACAATTCAAGCAACTGGACATATGCCCATACCAGAAAGGGAAGTCAAAATCAGATCATGAAGCGGCCATTATCAACACGATCTCCGAAAAGGAGAGGGAAGTTTTACTTTTATGCAAAGAAATTATTGTCTTTAATACAGAAAATTCAGAATGTTACGAAGAAGTGTTATTTGATATTGGTAAAAAATTAAGCTTCGTATCCAGAGAATTAGTAAATCGTTTAGAACTTGAAGAAATATTATATATTAATGTATCTACCTTTTGAGACACACATCACACGGTAGTTTCTCACAATGAAGACATTAAGTGGAATAAAAAATAAGGACAAGGAGATAATAGTTTATGAAGCGAATGCAGTGGATTTAACGGGTGAACTTAATGTAGCGGATATATCATCTATGATGGATGAAAATTACAACTTAGAAGGCCTAGCTTTCTTTCGGAGAAAACCAGATATATTAATGGAGGCCTTCTTCAGATCTATACAACTAGAGAAAATTCAACAATTGAAATCAAGATTTTCTCTATTTCAAACCAAATTGGGACCCCACGATTTGCGGAAGTGGATATATCGAAGAAATTCGAAAAGCAAGATAATAAAAACCCAGTGGACGTGGCTTTAAGAGGACTTTCTCCTATAGACTTCAGAAATTTTAATTCTTCATGGTATGGACCATCATGGGTAAAAAAGAGGGACGATGCGAGTGGCCACAATGGGAGTTTTAAGCACAAAGGCATGTCGACAAAGAAGAAATGGAGAAAACTCAGAGGATTGATGTAAATTTGATACAACAAATGCCCAAATTTACGTTCATAGATCAAGCCGATTTAGTAAATGGTTTAAATTAATCAAGGTAACCATTTTGGCACTCAAACTCATTAAATGCATAACAAAGAGTTGATTCAAGTGGTTAAACCCAGATAACCTCTAATAACAATGAAGGAAGTAGACATAAGTAGACATAGCTCGATGAATACTAATCAGACAAGCACAATTTGAAGGTATCGACGACAATGAAATATCTAAATGGAATTTTTATCATGACAAATAAGAAAAACTATGGAAATCAATGAGAAGATCGGAAAACTAAGAATTAAGCGAAAATAGTAAGTACCTGATTTACCTGCCAAGGCACAATATAATAACCGAAATCCTTATAATGTACTATCATGAAAATTCGCATCATATTGGTATCGCTCATACGTTATCAACAATGAGAAATGCTTATTGAATTCCAAAGGGTAAAACAGAAGGGTCATACGTGTTTTAAATCAATGTATGGCCTGTAAAAGTTGGAGTTCCAAACCATTCAAACTGCCTGCTACTCTGTAATCTCACGCCTACCAGTTCTTCTTATCTCACTTCATCTGCCAGTGCTCTCCTCCCAGTCACTTGGATTACAAGCGCCCTCCACGATGCCCGGCCCAGTGCGCCAATGGAAAACACTTAGGTCCTATTACTATAAAACTAGAAAATGGTTCAGGAAAACGATGAACTGCTCTATTCACATGTTTTACAAGAACGATGCATCCAGAAATAGTACAGAATTTTTCTGCTGAAGCCTTCTTCCATATATTTAGAAGATTTATCTGTCGACGAGGATGTCAAATTGATTTTAAGCGATAATGCTACTCAGTTTCAACTAGTTTTTTTTTAAACTATCATGAGACAGAATGCCAACTTCTAACAAGAGGAAGGAACCGGAAAACCATAACTCCTAGCGTACCATAGGAAGGAGGCGTTTATGGAAGAATAATCAGATTAACGAAGCAAGCAATGAAAATGGCCATAGGTAGAAAACTCCTATGGGAAAGAGACTAATAACTTTGAAAGTGGAAATAGAAGGTATATTTAACACTCGTCCATTATCCTAAATAAATTTTGATGATTATTACGTCCTATTGATTTCACTTAAAGCTTCATTAATCTTACCTATTGAAGATGATAGCAGAATGAAGAATTTTTCCCACATAAATTGAATACTAGAAATAAGCTTATTAAATACTGGCTAAATACTCTTAAACCTTGGATATATTCTGGAAGACATGGAAACCGGAGTATTTAACCAGTCTTAGAGAACGTACTCAAAAAGAAATTTCATCTCCTAAGAGAGAAGAATTTATATCTCCACGGGTTATACTCAATAAACCTAAAACACTACGAGGTATATGGAAACTATCCAGAATAAAAGAACATCAAGGAAAGGATGGGAAACTGTGGGCTTCTACAATAGAATTATCAAATGGTAAAGTACCAAAACTCTCGATAAGTGTACTTTATCCACTTGAAATTAACGATGAAATTGATTCAGAAATCGAAACAACTATAGGAAATTCTAATTTTCAATAAACGAGCAAGAAAATCGAAATACAAGAATCGATTGTAATGCGTATTCGAGCATCAGAGAGAAGGATGTCCGAAGTGGAACATATTAACGTTATCAATTCAAGGCTTGCTATTAATGATGGTTATATTACTACAGATTCAGGTAAACAGTGGAGAAAATTGAAGAAAATTTGCAAAACGACATCCTTTTAATCTTTCCAATAGATGAAAATGTGAAGAAATACTACAAGAAAATCTCACATTAGAATATCTTTATCTGTAGTTTCGCACCAAACAACCATTTCAGCCATATCATTGGAGATTCGTAAAATTTTACACAAACATAAGGAAATCAATGGAATTATCTTGAAACAAATCGCACCAGGTACTTGGACAACAATTAATAACTATACAATACTCCTATGGATGGTTAGTAAGATCATATTCCATTACTTAATACTTTTTCTCCTTCGGTCCTTCGGTCGGGAATATCGGAAAAAATCGAAAGAATTCATTTAAAAAAATCAATCTTTACAATAATGAATCAGCTACTTAATATATTCAATCCTACAAAATTCACATCTGTTAGCTAATTTAAAAAAAAAAACTACTTTGTTTACAAATTTTGGATACGCCATACCCTTAAAAAGAAAAAATAATTTCTATACAATTTTTATTTGATTTGCGCATTGAACATTGTAAGCTCAACGCAGATATAGGAAAAAAATAAGCTCATAGAATCAGTTTGAACGGTGCTTAAAAAAAACGATAAGCTGGAACTTCGTCCAATTTCTCCTAAACCAGAATCAACGCGACATTCTCCTTCTCTAACTTAACCTTATTCGTCTCCTTGACCCAATTATTATACTATTGTTGTTAGTATAATCCAACGGTAAATAAAACTTTTACTTTTCGACTCAAAGCAACTTTCACAACACACCCTATGATAAACGACTTGTAAAAAGATAGACTGCTTCTATGTCGAAAAAATCCATTTGTCTCATAATGCAACCAGGACACGAAAGGTGCTGGCTAATGGCCACTTCAAAGACTAATTTGCGATAAAGCAGGAAAGAACCTTATTTATGGACAGCCTATTTCATAAAGGCAAGCATAATTCGAGATTGGCCAGTAAAATGATCAGCGATAATGGAAATCCCTTTAATACTATCACTATTGGAAAAGGAGTGGCTTCAGTAACATGGTATGCGATCGGAAGGCTTGGAAACACTCGTCTTACCACGTCGCTAATGCAGAAAAGCAAACAACAAGAAGACTGTCCCGCTAGTTTATAATTTCAAAACGAATGTAACCTCGCACAATAATAATTGAGCACTTTTTTATTTAAAATGGACGAAAATAATGAACAACTTACAACATTGAAGGCTCTTGCGACAGTTAGCGGCGAAAGAGGATAAATAATAAAATATTTGAAAATTAGAAACATAGGGGAACATAGATGGGAATGCTTGATTATGCCCGTTTATAAATTTAGAAATGAAATCGATCAATGAAAGTCAAGGCAAAACTGCATGAATCGATGAAACGATCACATCAACGCAAACTACACCCGTCCACAAATTCCAAGTTTTTAATTCAATTTACCTTTCACCATTATCTGATAAAATCTTTTAAAATCGGCCACCCAGTCTCTTAAAACTGATTTAAAAGGTCAGCATTCAATCTTTCCTCTCCCTTTCCTTCGCTATGATAGTACTCATTAAATAATTATTAATAATAAAAAAATTACATGGCCCAAATTTAACCCATTTTCCTTAAAAACACTCATCAATTCTACTAACCTCGTTCCACTGACTTGTTAGACCAGGTAAATTTGTACGAGGGATTCACTTGACTATAGGAGCACTTTCTGGCTCACCAAGAAATTCAATTACTACGTTATATAACCATTCATAAATGTACCATAATCCTCTTCAAATAAATTTTTCTGTTCCGGTTCCTATAAGGAAATGAAAGAAGATTCATGGAAGATTCTTAGGCAAATTGAAATTGCAAATGCAACGACCAAACCATGTTTTTTCACTATCTTTTCATTTCAAACTTTTATATTTCCAAAATTTATGAAAATAAAATTTTTCAATAAATTTCCATTTGAAGGAAATATAATTAAGAAGTAATCATTAAAAATATTTCAATCGTTGAGTTAATTTAAATCTTGCCATTAAATAAGGAAATTAGAAAAAATATTTTCAGTAAGGAAAAAAAATTATCGTGTCACCACAGATCAAGGTTAAAATTTAAAATTTAAATTTAAGAAGCTTAATTCTTAATTTTATACAAAAATCAAATAATTTCAGGCAGATTTATGACAAACAAACATGGCAATTGATTATTATCAATTAAACGTATAGTTGAATATTGTAGGGGAAAGGACACAACCTTGACGGACACCAATTTTTGTTTCGAAGGAGTCTGTCAGTTCCCCATATATATAGACTTGTGCTAGGGTATGCTGATAAAATGCCTTTATAATTTCACCACTATAATTTTATATCATCTTTATTGAACTTTCAAATCCTTAAGAAAAAAGAAATTTACAATTCTTTTCGAAAATTTTTTTGCGAAAAAACTCCAGATCGATAATGAAATTCGTTAACGACTTAATGAATTCGTCTTTTCTTAAAAGCGCGTGGTTTTTTTATTTTTCTCTTTCGTTTTTCGTTTATACTTTCTGAACTGTCTTCCATCAGTTGTGCAAACTAAAATATATTTGGAAATAAAATAAAAAGTAATAATAAGTACTGAAAGACAATTCCAAAAAATATTTCTGCTTCTTATTCAACGAACTATATAACCGTCATCACTGAAATGCTTTTTCGACCCGTAACAAACTGGACATGAACTTCTTGTTTTCCAATTCTCTCAGAATGCTCAAAAATGCGATTGCCTAAGCGGTTTTCAAATGAAGTTGCAAACACTGATTCACTTAAAACCATCTTACTTTGTCGGCGCTTACAGCAGCATCCTCTTCAATGCCAATATCACATATAAGTTTACTACCAGATTCAATATCATATCCATCAGCCTCCTTCCATTTGAAACTTCGTTTTTGCGAAGCATCAACACTACTGTTTTCATTCGATTCTTGATTCAAATCGCCACTTTCCAGTATATTATCAGACTCATCCTAAATAAAATCTATGTAAAAGCGGAAAAAATGGAAGAAAAATTCTATTTAATTAATCAACTCAGATTTATGTTAAAAGTTCCTGCAGAAAAAACAAACTTTGAAAATACTAGCCGAATGTAAATTAAATAAGAGAGAATTCGAAAATTATTTCTGAATTTACCTGATCACCCTCATAATCAATAGTATCGCTTGAATCGTTATCGCAACAACTATCACTATTTTCTTGAAAATCATCAGTTCCACGTTTCCTTTTTCTGCAGTCTTTTTCTCTTCCAAATTCTTTGGCAAAATCAATTTCAAAATAACCACTGTTATCTCCTGGCTCGAAATGACCTATAAAAGAAACCAAAAAAAAATTGCAGAAAATTTAAAAATTCCGAAAACAAACTTTCCAAACTAAATCTTACTGAGAAGCATATCAAATTCTTCAGAGTTAACACTCTCGATATCATTAAAGACATCCTCAGCACCATCGAAAGTTGCTTCTTTCTTAATACTTGCTTGCATTGCCGTATAACGATGTATGAAACGCTCATCCACAGGAATCTCATCTCTTTTCTTCATTACATAAGCCTAAAATGCATGAAACGCCTTGAATTCTTGCTGTCGAAAGAATCAGTTTTTATTGTTTTTAATTCAATTACACAACTATTGGCCACGATTTTGTTTTCTTATAAATGAATAGAATAATAAATAAATCAAACAAACTTCGCTCGTTACGGGCAATTTTTTTATCACGGAAGGATTGTAAGCCTTCCTAAAGCCATGACCTTTTTCATCGACCTTTTTCTTTCTAGGGTTCTTATAAACGAAACGGTCCAGAAACTGCATAGATGTGAAATTCATCAAAGGATCACCATCATATCTTATTCTTAACCTCTGCAAATTCCGATTTTGATGACGAATTTATAAAGAACTAAAAGTGAAAAAATTTGTGAAAATTTACAGAATCGGAAGAGAGTACCAATAAAACCGGGAAAAAACACCTATAATCCTGTAACATATGCTTTATAAAAGCAATCGCTCTACCATCACTAACATGGAAATTAAACTATCAACAGTCATGCCAATTTTAAATGGCATGTTTTTCTATAAACAGACAATAAAATATAAATCAAGTTGTGTAATAAAATTACAGCCATGAGATTAGATGCAAATATCGCAATCGACGGATGGTAATGCTTAGCAAGAAGAAGAAGTTCTGCCGCAACACTTCGATCAGCTGATGCGTAAACAGGGTTGCGAGAATATGGATCGTATATAATAGTATCATTTCGAATAACTATAAATAAGACACTAATCACCATTTGTAATGACTATTAGAGCAGTATATTATAGAAAAGTTAAGTCAAAGAAGCAAAAAATTAGGAAACTGAAAGTTTGAAAATTTCACCTAAATATCAATTTTAACTACAAAAATGAATGTAGTGCCCAGAAATGCATAAAAATAAAAAAAGGAAAGAAACAGGAACAGAAAAAAATTATACTAATAACCTATGTTATTTCGATGAACCCAGCTTCGAACTCCTTTATCTGAATTTGCATTCTTCTTGTGAGATCCCGTCTTTACATTAGCTCTTTTCTGATCATCTGTACTCAAGTTGACATCATTACGACAGCAATCGATAACATCTAGATAATGTTCATCATAATCACCGTCATCGACATCACCAGCGCCTTCCTCCAATATCACCATTTTCGATCTCATAGGCTTCTGAAAAAACTCTTTCGTAAAGTAAAAAAGTAAACCTGGTTTAATTTACGTAAACTAATCGCTCTAATAACTGATTTTTGACAATATATTCGAAATTGTTCATACATCAACAAATGTCGTAAATATAAGCAAATTTGGTCGTGTTTCAAATAATCGAGATAACAGGATAAGACTTGCGCCCGCAAAGCAAGCACTACGACTGAGCGATAACTGAAAAAAAGGGATGTGAAGGAATTAAAATGAAAAAACTCGGAGAGTAGAACCAAAAATAATCCTGGGAAAAAATACCTGTAATAGACGCTTTATAAAAGCGATCACTCTACTATCAACAGAATCCATTTTAAGCACATTGTATAATAATGAAAGTAGAGGTCTCTCTTGAGATGAATGGTTATGAATGCATAATAATTTATGATAAAGAGCTCCATAAAAACGATCTGGTACCATACCACTAAATACTAACAGATCAGAATATATAGTAATCCCTTATACTGTTCATAATAGATCAAACCTATATAAACAATAATTAAACGAAAACTGAGACAGCCAAACGAGAAATGCTAAAATAAATTGGATAAAGCGATATTTTTTCAACCTTTGAATATCCTATCCTAATTTAAGATGTTCACTTGAAGACTAAAAAGACTAATACTTCAAATCTTAATGTGGAATGAAAGAATAAAATAAATCTGCATTGAAAATAAACCCTGATGAATGAAGATGATAAAGCAGTTTTAACGTTTGTAATGACGTTACAAAATTGGAGCTATGGGCCAACTTATATAAAATATCAATATCACCATCAAACCTTTTTGTTTCATCTGAAATAATAATAATACGAAAAACGCAAAATTTTTTTCGAAGTTTTTTCTTAAATACTAAAATAAAACAAAATATTAAACTCGAAAAAAAAGAAAGGAATATTCATTATTATTATGATGCAATAATTAGGAACACAAAGAACTAATCAAAGAGATTAAATAGAAAATGGAACACAGAAAATGGCTATTTCAATTGTTTTAATCCTTCATTTTCGTGGCATTCGTAGACACATCTGATAAGTGGCACTAAATAAATATCAAAAAATTAAGAATGTACCTACAGTACAACACCCACCTTCTGGAAGAAAAAGAATAACTGGTTAGTGATTTTATAATAAACACAGATTGATGATCTATTAAACTTGGATTTTGTAATCATAAAAAACAAAAAAACCTTTTAAAAACGGAATAACTCGATTAGTTGCTGACAATAATACTGACAGTATTTTATCATCTAATTTTCCTTTAGCTACGAGTTCTCGAAATAATCCAAAATAAATTCTAAGTAATGAAGAAGCACAATCGAAATCAAGGCGAGTTATTTGAATTTGCGACAGGAACGAAATCGCGTGAAGTTGTGTGCGACATGCCACATTCCTGAATTCGAAACTCGAAAAAATGGACCAAAATACCTCAAATACCTTGAAGCACCATTTTTGTTAATAAAATACGAGTAATCCAAAATATTTTTCCACTCAAAAACGAACTTCCTAAAAATCAGATATTCAACTTCCCTGACAATAACAGGCCGCATATTTGGTTGTCGACGACAAAGCTGAATAAGATAACCACAAACTTTATTTACAAATTTGTTGTTAGGATGACCAAGTTTATTGACAAGCATAGACAAAAGCCTCTGAAATTAAATGAAAACTTAATCAAAAGTAATAGAGTTCAAAAATATGATAAAAAAAGTGATATTTAAATTATTGGCCAAAATCGGACTTTTTAAAAATTTTGTAGCAAAAAAGAAAAATACGTTCTCGAATACAGTTAGTTTTATACTCTAATATACTTTAATTTTAAGCCTGTCAAAAGTGTTTCATATATTAAAATAACCTGTTCCTGTTCGGGATGTTCAGCAAGCAAATCAAGAGCAGTTCGACAAGCAGATAGTCTAATTTTTTCAATATTTGTATCCGCGACTTTCTGAAAAGATATAAACCAACTAGCTCTTCACAACATCAGTACTGTTAACCACAGAAGCAATATAATTCATATATTAAACAAAAAAACCAATTTAAACCTCCAAATTACTGACGAATTTTTCGTAAATTTTCTTCAAATCAGATTCAAATTTCCATAAAACCAATCTTCGACGCAAATTTTCCTCATTGCCTCCCGATAATTTTTTCAAATTCTCAAAAGGCCTCTAAAACACATTTAATTCACAAATATACTAAATTTCAATCCTTCAATTTCAACTGAAATTCAAAAATTTAAAAAAATATAAAAAAAATTACGATGTTCAGTGGAATCAATTTGCGACTCGGAGGCAAAAGATGATCATTAAACAACATCTTCAGTGCCTCTGAAATCATAAAATTAATAAGACAAATATATTAGTTGATTCAACTAGCCAAGAAAAAAAACTGCAATAACTAAAGCAATCAACCTAAAACGGAAGAAGTTTCACGAGGATTTTTCTTCTGCATAATGGATAATAACTGAGTTAAATGAGATAATGAATGCACAGGAGATCGTTGAACAAGAAGCTGCATAACTGAAATGCGGTCAAGTGCTGTGCCACGAGTTAAAATAGTATTCAACCATGAAGCTTCGGGATCACTACCGCCCGACAATCCTGTGGTAAATTGTAAAAAAGTTGCGAAAAGTTAAAAATTATATACATCATTCTAAAATCTAATAAATATTCTCTAATACTACCACCACCACTTAAAATTATCGAATTCACTTAAGACTTGTAAATTCACTTATTAAACAATATGAAATTAAAATAAAAAAATCAATAAGGAAATGTAGAAAATAAACCCCACAATGATGTAACAGCAACGCAAGCTTACTTTGCTCATATTCTTTAATCTCTTTTCGCATTAACAAATCAGCTTTTTCTTCGAAATCTTTTGTATCAGAACTAGGTGAAGCCAACTTTTCACAATCAGCACTCTCATACCACTTCGAACCAACAGCACGTCCAGCCAGCAGATTCGCTTCATTAAATGATCGACTCTAAAGCATTAGCATTAGAAACTACTCTAAAAGCGAAAAAGCCAAAACGAATTAAAATTAGTTTTGTCAACAAAGAGAACTCCAAAGAATTTCTGGTAATACATCAAAAATCACGATATTTCAAGATTGTGTTTCATTTCCTTTAAGCATATGTTAAATGTTAAATTTTAGATATTTACTAGCTTCGCATTAACTGCTTAATAATTTCATTTACAATTTATATTTAGTAATTTCATGAAAATCTTAAAATAATTATTTTGGAAAGTAAACATAAAATAGCCAAATACTTACGAACAAAGGTCACAAAAAGAAATGCTGAAATAGAAAAAGCTACCTTCATCCTTAGCAAAACTCCCAAACCCCCAAATCCGCCCTTTTTCTTCGTATCAGAAATCCTGAAAATATTTAATAAAAAACCAGCTGAGAAAAGCAATCTCGACAAATCGATATTTTGTTCATAAAGGTAACTTGCGTACTTTCAACAAAATAATACGTTCACAGAATGTAACATAAAAGAGAAAGAAAACATACGAGCCGATCAAAACAAATTACCGTTAAAACATATCGATGACGAAGAAAATAAAAAAGAGGCAAAAGCAAGCAAAATATATCGACGCAATATAGCCATCGATCAAACGGTCGAAAACAGTAAATATATGAAATTTTGGTTGCAAAGATCAAAAGTTCAATTATTTGGTGTTATCTCATACACTCTAAATAAGCACTCGCCAAATTTATACTACCGGTGCACCAAAAGACTAACATAATTCCACCAATGGTGAGGGAACGACACAATGGCGCGCTACCTGAAACTATATTTCGCATCCTAGAAACAATTTCCACATGACATCAACTGCATATCATAAAAATTCAAAAAATGCAAAAAAAAAGATTAAAGCAACAAAAATTCAAAAAATGCAAAAAAAAGATTAAAGCAACAGCAATATATAGATCGCAAAAGTAAAATTTCAAAATAAAATGATAAAAGAGAAAAAAACAAATCTCCCTCCCCTCACAAAACAGGTAATACTGCCAACCTCCTCGACTTACTTCAATTTTAAAGGTTAATCACCACCAAGTTTTCACCTGGAAAAAATTTTAGCCAGAGAGACCACCTTCAATCAAAAATGGTAAAGGTTAACCGCTAACAAATCCCTCACAACCAACACACTCTAATCGTCGTACATGGACTAACTCACGCAAGTGAGTGAAGTAAGTAATCGTAATAATATGCTTACCATTTCTGGTCGACTTCACCCACTGAGCGTAAGAGTGATGGGAAGGGAATCCTTGGAAATATTCGCGTTTTTTTTTGAAACCTTCTTGTGCTGAGGAGAGCAGGCGTCGAACAATGGTGCTAAGAATGACCTAAGCAATAACCATTCGGCTATCTCGCACCCTGCTAGCCCTTTGAAAAAACAGGATTTCAGTTTGTTACGCTCTCCCAGTAGTGATAAATTTATACTATTAAATCCTTCATAGTAATCCTCGTCAGCTGCTAAAACTATTCATAAATCGGCAAATGAAAGGCAGAAAATTCGGCACTCCCGTATTGATATTGAGTTCTACATAAACCTTGTGATATTTCTTGTATGCTTTTTCATTGTTTTTCAGTTTTTTACAGCTGGCTTAGGCTTAACCGCCTTATTTTTTGGAGAGGAAATTTATGGCCAATGCCTTGGAGAAAAGTTTTGCGACTTGCTTCAGGAATGGTCATGCCTTTCCCTCATAATCTTCGTAAAACTGAATCCTGCGTTAGCGATAGTTACAACAGCTATGCTTGATCATTTCCTCTCTTTACCTTCCTGAAGTAGTAAAAATCCGATTTCCTTTGTTTAATGGTTTCACATGCCTTTTTGTGGACTCGAACAGTCATAAAAGATATCGTTGGCAGGAACTTGCTCAACTGTTTGGATGAGTGCCTTGGAATGACCTTTATCACTATTGTTTAATTAAGGGTAGATGTTTTATTCATGGTAGATGTATATATTTCTCATTTAATTTTACAATCAGTGAAAAGATCTATCCCATGTATGGATAAAACCTTTAAACCTGAATGCCCACATGCTTTCGCACGTCAGCGACATACCAACTGCTACTGAAAATCGAGGCCTGGGGTCGAATCTGCCGACGCATTACTCTTTGTCGGATGACACTGTTGCCTAACAGAGTAAGGGAGAATAAAATAATTCATTGTATTGTTGTTGAATTCGGAGTGCTGATTCTATTCCCCACAGCAGTAAATTGTCTAAAAATCGGGGTGATGCTGGCGACTGACCTGTATTTCTGTCGCCAAGTAGCTTTCTGGCATTTTTGGCCAGTCCGAAAAGCCAGCAGAATCTAACCAGTAATGGTTAAAACTCATTCCATTTAACCTGTTTGAACTCCCTATTTCCGTCAAATCTTCTCTTATAATACCCATCGATATGCGTTTTTCTGTTTACATTATGACTTTGTATTTTTAAGAGGTTAAATCTGTATATCAGAGGAGGTTAAACAGAGGAGATTACAAGATTAATGAGATCCATGAGCTATAACAAAAAATGACGGTGAAGTTCGATATTGACAAGTAACTGATTCCGAAGGTATTCAAGAAATTTTTGAGTTCTACCTGGAAGCAAAATATTGGGAATAGAATGGCTTAGTGGGTTGTTGCTCAATTGGGAGCGCCAATGCTGAGGCTCAATTCCCCGCAGGAGTAAACCTGTCCAAGAATCCGGGTGATGCTGGCGACACACCTGTACTTCTATCGCCAAAGGACTCCCTGGCATATTTGTCCAATGCGACGAGCCAGTGGAGCAAGTTTAAACAGTAATGGTGAGGACTCTAAAAAAAATTTTAAAAATTAAAAAACAAAATGTGATAAAATTTTGGAAGAAGTCAACAGCAAATTTCAAAGACATTTTTCATTTAGCTAAAACTGAAGTATTATATATAACTGAACGATTATATATAACTGAACAAAAGTAGAGATTAGGAGCTAGGTAGGTGAAAACTGAAGTTTCACAGCGGAACAGCAGTGCACTCGCACAGAAAAAAGAAGTTACTATCGGTAGTTATTAAGTCGACCTGAAGAAGGGATAACTGATATACACCAAGCATGGACAAAAAATCACAATTTCGGGAAACCATAAATTATCAACTGTGCATTTTTCAAGTTTACATATATCCTTCAAATTAACAAAAACAAAACGAGAAAAAAATAATAAATAAAAGAAATTAATTATGGTTTGTGGTGTCTTTTTTTAAGCGCTCATTCATATGCTTTATAGTTTCTGTGATCATAAGGTCAGGAAATAAAATCAACGAATTCATTTCGATCTTTTTGGACTCGAAAAAAAGTTTTCTAAATTGTAGAACAATAAGAAATGCGAGGTGCGCCTTTTGCTTCAGTCTTCTCATGTAATTCCATTCTTTTCTGCCAACAATTGTCCACGATTAATGCTGCTTGTGAATACCGTATTTCTCATATTTGACCAGCAGAACGTCTAGAAAAACACCTTAATTTACACCATTAGGTGAGTATTATATTGCTGTATATACGGAAATATTAAACTGTTGGGCGTTATGACGAAAAAAAGTGACAAATTTTTGAGCAAAGACCAACAGTTATTTTGTCTTCCTGACCACTTCCTTTGTGGGAAACTGAATAGATAACCCAAACAAAAATAATGATCTGCTGATTTTGACTTCTAGCGCATTGATGTACTTATATCATGAAAAATAGGAATCAGTACCACGAGTTTTACAGACATCAATTCGGTATATCTATTCCACAGCTGGTTTGATCCTTATCATCAAATTCGCTAAGTCTATCGATTTCACCAAGAAATATTCGAGAATAATTCCATCTTCGGAGGCAAACATCAGTCTTCTCTAAAACCTGCAGTTCTCAATGCGATCACTTTTTTAAACTCGCCATGATGGAATTTATCATGGTCAGTAATCGATGCTTCCAGATTGTCAACCTGAGATATCGTTCAGAAATTTCTAGCTATTCTTAATTACTTATTTGTTCTGCGAACTTTGTCGCTAAATTTTAGATTGTTCTTAGCTGCTTTTATATAAGTAAACTACCTACGATCGATTGGAAGTGAGTATTATCGTTGTATAGTAATATCTCATCGACTCTTTTCATTATCATATTTTTACGAAATAAGCCCTAACTTAAAACAGTACCTTTTGATTTTCTTTGATATAATTAAAAGGCAAAATTTTTAAAAAATGCAAAATAGAAAAAAACTTTTGCAAAAAATTTCATAAAAATACGATATATAACATTTATAAACTTTCACAAACTTTTACATTCAAGGAGAAATAAGATTTTTAACCAAATCGTGAAAATTAAAGAGTTTGAAGACGAGAAAAATACTCTCGAGCTTGTTTCTCGTACTTTTCACAAACGTTATAGACTGGCGATATTTCTGCCTAAAACCTAGATATTTTTGGCGGATTTGAAAAAATTTGAAATCCCACCTATAGTTTGAATAAATAATAACAATTATCTGTAAATTCAATTGAGTACTAAATTAAAAGGCTCGTTGAAAATCAGAGAACACAACATTGAAACTTACGACCAAATTTTGCACACCGCCCACAATATCGTTCCGCGTATATTGTTGTGCAATAGACAATCCACTTAGTGTATAACATGTATGATATAAATCTCGAGGCCTGAAATGGCAGTCAATGCATTTGCATCAAATTAATAAAAATGAACTAGGTAGCACAAGGAGATATTATAACAGTGGAATCAAACAAGATATCAAAAAATATTATAAATGCAGCATCACCTAAAGTCTAGAATATTTCTTACAACTAATCCTTCCTATCTAGGTTAACCTGCTACAAAAACCTGGGTGGTCTGACGAACCACCTGCAATTCTACCGTTATGTGACTCTCTAGCAAAATTTCTCTGGTCCAACAGCCCAGCGGAACGAGCTAAAAGTAGTAAACTCTTAGAAAAAAATTTTATTACCTTTCTCCTTTTACTGCTAATCGAATTATCTCAACCAATAAAGATAAAATACAAAAAAATACAGAAATAAAGAATTAAACGCTAATTAGTCCAAAATAAACTTTAAATATATCATTTATTTCACAGAAAAATAATGTTTTTGTGTGGCGAATTCACTGCGAAGTTCATATAAAGTTTTTGCAAATCAATTTTTAAAGAATGACTGAAAAAACTCTAAAAAACTAAAAACTCTTGCATAACTTTATCAGTTGGAATAAGGGAATCGAATTTCCTATGATGAATCTAACGCGCAATTTCTTCAAAAGAAATTAATACTGATATGAAAATAATTTTGGAAAACATCTAGCATTCTGCCCTTTATAAATGCGGCATCACCTAAAGTCTAGAATATTTCAAAAGACAAATAAAATGAAACTAATTAAATGAAAATTTATAATGAAAATAAAATGGATCGAAAATTTAAACAAAATGCCCTGTCCCCATTCCCATACAGAATTTCCAGTTATCGTTATAAACCTGTGATGGGCTGATTTCTCTTGCCGCAGTTTTCATATTTTACTTACTGAGTATATACTTTACTTGAGTACTTTATCTATGCTATCTACGTTATCATTTTCTTATAATTATTTGGTTAAGGTAATTGTCATGAGCCTTCTCCCACACCTCTCACTCGCTATACATATCTTTCTGGTCCACCCACATAACAGGAACAGAGCACAAATTCTTTTCTTTGATCAAAATATTTGGAAACAACCACATACTTGTCCGGTTTATCCCGCAATCCACCTCTACTATCTTGGCAGGAAATAAGAATAAACTCTTGCAGAGCTTTAGCGTCAAAGGATCCATCCAAAATAGATGATTTATTCATTGCAAATTCAAGCATGGGAAAAACTGCTCCCTGCCAAAAGCTATAGCAACCATCAACCAATTTGTTCGAACGGCCCTAAAAAAGCTGATTGTAAGATTTTAAATTTTAAATAAATTTTTAAAAAATATTTTAAAATATTTATTTATAAAATATTTTAAAATATTAAAAATATTTTGACAAAAATTATTTTATTTTCAAATTATTAAAATTTTTAAACTAAAATTAGATATTGAAGAAATTTTGTTTATGTAAATTGATTCAATATATTTTCAGCGTTTAAAAACAAAAAAAATTATATATAAAAATTAACTAACCTGGAATCCACCTTCATACTTCATCTGTTTTTGAGATAACCACTTAAATAATGAACTAGTATGGATTAAGACTGCTTTATCTAATAGCAACAGTGATGCAACACCGCAAAAAGTATACCCACCATGCGCTTCGCAACATCTTGATGACCCGAAACCACCTTCATATGTTTGACAGCTTAAAAAATTATATGTAAAGTTATCTATAAAGGACATATGACAAATCGCTAGCCTAAAAATGTTTCCATGAAGTTCAAATTTAAATGAAATAATACACCTTATAACCCAACTGGCTGTATTTTCAACCAGTATATCATCAAGAATGTTTGTAATTGATGCAACTGATAAAGCACAATAAGATCCTCTTACATCAATTTCTCCACCACGATGTACTTCAAAACTTCCATTTTCTTTTTTTACAGATAACAAAAAATTATACAGGGTTTTCCTAAAAATAAAGTGTTTATGTGAATAATAATGCAGTGAATCATAATGTAAATGGACTAAAATATAAATCTTTTCAAGTTTAATAAATTCAAAATCGCGAAATTTTCGAATATATTGAATTAAAAGCGAATAAAACTAAACCTATTTATACTTTTCAAAGCCTCATCAGTTCCGATGCTAACAAGTGCCATTACCGCAGCGTAAGTAGTAGCGAGATGTGGATATTGACCCGGTCCACCTTCAAAAAAATTGAGCTGTAAAATTGGTATAACTACTGAAATGATTCTAAGTTAAAAAATTATAAAGGAGAACAAAATGAAATTCTAAAAATATGAAATGAAGCACATTTCAATCCTTGTTTTTTAATGACATTAAATGATTAATTATAATCAAACCTCCATATCCGCCATCTTTCCATTCACACGTTTTAATAAATCGAACAATACTGAAAAAATAAAATGTAAGGAAAGAACATAAAATTCTGAAATGAAAAAAAAATTTCATTCCCGAAAATATTTGAAAAAATCAAAATCAATAGAAATTTCCAGAAAATATTTAGAGAACATAATCATAATATACAATATATGCAATTTAAACAATTTTATTCTACTTGATATCCTCGAATTTCGTAGTTTTTTCAAATTTTATATATTCAAGCACATAATTTTATAGCTTAAACGATACTAGGTATTGATGCAATGCTCTAATTTTATCAGTGCCTAATTCATAGCTCCATTAATCTAAAAATTTTGTTTACTTTGATAATAGTTGGCTGTCGATATTAGCTTCAAGAATGCGCAGACTATGTACACCCCAGTAACATAACCACGTCCTTGAAGAGCAAAGATTCTGAAAGTACACTGATAACGTTCGAACTGCATGTGCTATATGATAGGAAACAAACCGAGTAAGATTTTCCCAGCTCCTTCAGCGAATTGCACAAATACTGAATATGTAAATTACGATAGAGCGTTGGTGAATATGGCAATCCATCATCAACATCGTCCATAAATCCATTAACGAATGAAATGTATTCATCTTTAACAAGGTCTTCTACACGCTTCTAAAATTTACCAAAACCAAGCGCTGCTGAAAAATCGATTCGAAACGGATATATCGTATTATGAAAGTTATCAAGATACCGACTGAATAAAAAAATTGTGAAGAAAGACCTGCTCGGTACTTGAATAAGTAAAAAAGCCGTCGTCATTAAATTCTTGATCGGAACGAAAAGCACAAAACGTGTGAATTAATCCACTACCACACACAACTTTTTCTTCAATAGGTCCATCAGCCATTTTGAAAACTATTTTTTATTAAAAACCTTAAAATAAATATATATAATCGACTTGAGATTTTAATGGGAATGCAATTTCTTCATTTGCAAAAAGAAATATTAACCGCTAGCTTACGACAATGAACATTATTTTTAATATTTAAAAATTTTGCTCTGAATTCAAAAAAATTATAAAATGCTTACTTAATTTTGACAAACTCAGCCATCATCAACAATAATTTTAAACACTTTAAACCCTGGTAAAAACTAGTAGTTTCTTTGCAACTGTTGCTACCCTTCTTAACCGCAAACAATTCATTAGATGTTGATTTTAAAGTAAATACAATTGCTGTGAAAATACCAACTTCAAATATCGAATAAATATTAATCTGCTAAAAAATGTCCTGATCGCGTTGTTTTGAAAGGTCGATTCAAATGCCTTGCATAAGAGAAAACCCTACAATAGATTATAAATAGCAATTTCAATTCCATCCATTCCTTTTTAAGCTTTTAAAATTTCAAATTTTTTCGTTATTATTAAGGTTTAATAAAAAAAGTCGGAAAGGAGGAACAAAGACAAAAAATTTTCCTTTCTTCTAACTTTCAAAAAGTAGAAAAAATTTTATGAACAGTGACATTCCGTAGGTAAAAAAAAAGATAAATGGAATGAATACATTTATTAATCAAAAATAGATGAGATCGAGTAAAATGTTCCCGTTACAGACAACATTTCACATGCACTTCAGTTTATAAATTAAAACATTTAAATAGGCGATTAACAAAATAAATTTGCTTATTTAGTGAACTGTTTCTAAAATAGTCTTACATCAGCATTATTTCTTTATTCACCAAAAATACTTAAGTTCTCAGTTTTTTTTCACCTTAAATCAACAAAAAGAAATAAAAGGTAAAAAGCAACAGACTGACTAAATATCATTTAAACATCCTTTAAAACTCAATTGCTAAAGAACATCCATGCATCGTAAATATGCTATGTACGTTTTACCCAAGCCATTACATATCTCAACACTTTTTTGTATGCTTTAACTTATAATTGTCGTAAAAGAACCTGGTTAGGCTTCTAAAATCCCAAAAAAAAGATTTCGAAAAAGTGAAGAAATAGAATAAACGATAAAAAAGTCCTCCTATGGCTTTAAAGAAAAAGTGTAAAGTATTCTAAAAAGCTTCACGGTAAAACCTGAAAGACTAAAAAAATTCTTATGACCCAACATCAATTCAGGAAATACAAAGATGAAATTAATGTCTTGCATATATATTGCTTTCAACATTATAAACAAAAAAGAAAAGTCAGGGCAAAATAAAAGGGAACATTGGTTCTTTTTTTGCAGGTCAAAATAAAAATAGGCAGTCCATCATAAAACTGCAAGCAATTTTCATACATCTTATAATTTTGCCCAACCCATATAATCTTTACAGAGAACTATAAACATTTGATAAACACCTTAACAGTCCAACTGAACACACGAAAGACAAGTAATATACAATTATATATTAGCCAAACATAAACCTATCAATTAAAAATTATGAGCAGACAGAATAGGAAGATGGAAAGGAACGATGCTCAAGTGACTTGATGCATATTTCTTTTAAATTACGAACCGTCCATAGAAACACAATCAAAACTTATGAAAAAGATTAGAAATAAATCTAAATTAATTTTCGCCACAGTTCTCGACAATTATAAATACTTTGAAGAATTTAATTCCTGACATATATGCACCTTTCGACGACTGAAATTTTTTTTATTGCACATGTCTAATAAGAGGTTAAACAATGAATGATTACAAACTTGAATGATTACAAACTTTATCTTGAATGATTACAAACTTTGGCGAATAGCGTAAACAAAAAAAACAAATCCCTATTGAGATGTACTGGCATTGGATACTAGATTTGAAAAATTCAAGGAAATAGCTGGTGACATTGTTACAGATACACCATCATTGCTGAGTGAGTAAGATGACCTAACACCATCTTTAAGTACCTGCAAACGCAACGGAGGAAGGGCAGGAGGAGGCATTAGTTCACTGTCAGATAATGTTAAAACACCATTTGACCTATCTGATGAAGCAGTTTCGGATAAATCCATCTTCACTGCTTTACAAACCAAGATTTCACCGTCATCAACACATCTAAATTTGATATTATCAAAAAAAATTATTCTAGAATTGAAAGGGATGTGATTGGAAATACAATACGACAAAAAAAAATTTTAGCAATGCACTTAATGAATATATTCGGCCAATGATGGATTTTGTTTATGAACTTGTCAAAATTCCGTTATTTAACAAATCTCCATATATCTTGCAAAACAAATAAAAAATTGTAATCAACGAGTTCTAACATAAATTGAACAGCAATAACATAACCACTTTCAGATACTTTGGTCCGATTTTATTTCACACTGTGAACTATCTGTGGAAAAGAAGGCAGATTAAAATTAAAGGAAAATGGAAAATTTACTTCTCTCCTTTCTTTATTTTTCTTGGACGCCCACGTTTCGGCTTTATTTCAGGGTTTTGGTTCGTTTTACCGTTATTCTGCTTTCGCTTACCACCTGTGAAGTTGCTAAAATTTGTTGGAACATATAAAGGAGCAGTTACAGACATAGGCCGAATCGGTAACATCGCAGGAACTAGATCCATTGAAGGCCCAGGATTTTGTACAATTCCTTCAAAAACATTTAAAAATTAAAATGTTTAATAAAAGTAATTTTCCAACAAAACAATAATTGAAAAATGGTTTAATGGAATAATGCAACGAATGGAAAGGCACTTAAATTTATTCTGAATTTACAGCTTGTAAGAACAAAGAATGTGATCACCTGGGGCTATGAAAACAGGCACTGCCTGTTGAGGAATTAGTTCGGTGTTCCACGCAGCCTCATTTCCAACTCGAGCCGGTAAAGGGACTTCTCTCATGATTGGTTCCAAGAAAGAAAAGTGTGGAATGCGCATCATTGCCTCTTTCCTAAAAATACATTATTGTTTCATCGTGAGTGATAAAAAAAATTAAAAAATGAAGCCTAATAAAATCTTCGATACAAATATCTCAGTAATCGCAATTCTTTACTTTAACAACTGTTTTAAAACTGCAAATAATGCAAAGTCCAGAATGAGCAATAAGAGTAATATAAACAAAAAACAAAAAAAACATGTGGCACGGAGAAAGAGTTCGAGATGATGAGGACTGGATACTAAGTGCTGATGCTTCTAACAATTTTTCCGCAAAATGTTCCATTGCCCGACCAACTGCGACTGGAACTGATGCAACCATTCGCCCTATTTCTTCATCATTTTGCATTACTTTTTTTACTCGCGTCTTAAATGATTAATTCGTGAATTAATCTACGTATTTCAGAAAAACTGTATGTAGTATTAAAACAGATGTAGAAAATCTCAAAATAATTCAATCAGCAAGAAACATAAAAATGAACTTAAAGTTTCTGATATCGCAAAATTAACTAAAAAAAATATTTCAAATATTTACTCAGAAAATAAAACCTGTAATCAATCATTCAATCAAACGAATTTTGAGCAAACGTTTTCTAAACAAATTTTTATCAAAACTTTACAAAAGGAACTGAGGAATTTTCTTCTTTCCGTCAAAACATTGTGAATTTCATCAAAAATTTTCACCAAAACAAATAAAGAAAAACTAGACAAAAAAAAATAAGAAATTGATAAATTCAAAAAATTCCCAACTATCGGAAGTTAAAACAATTTTTCCTATTCATATAATAATAACAAATAATACTTACAGGTTGGATTTTTGCGCTGCTAAATCGTCTTTTACGAATAGGGGCAGGATTATTGGCAAATGCTTGCACACTACTTGAACAAGGTAATCCACACTCCGGACGCTCGAAATCCATATTTCTCTATCTACTTTTGCCAAAATTCATATAACATAGATTTTAAAAAAAGAACAATTTTCTCTTATTCTTATTAAAGAATTTTAGTGGAAATTCAAGAAAAGTGAAATAGAATAAAACTGAAATAAAGGGAACGAATTTCCAATTTTTGAAGAAAACAATTTCGACTGCTTTGATGTTAAGATTATAAGTAAACTTACATACATATAGGAGTCTATTATGGTAAAAAAAGAAAATTGCGAGTTATAGTATGCTCACGTATCCCATGCAGTTTAAAATCCATATGAAGTTAAAAAGAATGTCAAAAGACTTCACAAAAAATATACCTGAATAGGTGGAAAACAAGGATTACTGCCTGGTTTATTTAAACCTATAAAAAATATCATTTAAAATAACAATAATCTAACTGAAATTATAAGTTTAAATTTGAAAAGCGCTATTTTTAATTGCGAAGAATTACGCTCGAAACGTTCATTATTCCTTTAAAAAAAACAAGAGAGGATTACAAATTCTTCAATGATTCGATTTCTATCAATAGAAAAATTTGACCGTAAGCTTGAGTCAACTTTTCGAACCAATTCGCACTTAATATAAAATAAATCCTCAAATTTTTATTGTATATAATGATGATATTTATAGATCTGCATTTTTAACGTTTCCGAGCCAGAAATTTTTTTGTTGATTACGTCGCCGCTACTTATTTCACGTAAAATTGGCAACATTCCCAAATCAACCACTTTGTAGAACGCCACGATTTTCGTGATAGAATTTCACATCTCGACTTTTGATAGTTGATAAAATTATTTTGTTCACACCACTCTTCTGCTTTGTTTTATGAATATAAATCACGTTATGTACTGACGTGCCCAAATGTTCTCTAACACCTACCTAACTTGCACCACTGACGTGCTCAAATCTTCAACAATATATAAATTACGTCACCTAAGAAGCACAAATCACGTTACGCACTGACGTGTCGAAACGTTCCATAATACATAGATCACGTTATGTACCGAAGATCTCAAAAAAAAACCTACACCATATCCGAAATTATATGCAAAAATACGTGTACGACCGTCAACAAAAAAGTTTTCCTCAAAGTTCTCAACTCGTCTCTATTCGGCTATTTTGTTAGAATATGTTCGATATGGTTCGTACGCTGCGAACAGATCTATCAATTTTTGAAATGCAAACGCAAATTTTATTAAAATACAGTTTTCGGCAAAAAAAAATGTAAAAGTGAGCGATTATAGGAGTACTATTGAATAGAGTTGCATTATAGCTGGTGAACTGTTAATTAGTGGTACTTTTCGAATGTGCAGTGCCAGCGCCTTCTCTCCGTTCGTTTTCGTTATACTGCAATAGCAATAGTGTTGCTGGCGAGCCGATAATTAATGCAATAGCATATCTGTATTTGATCCACTGCACAAATGCAGAAATGTTTGAATTGCGAACATTGGAGGTTCATTATGTTCCAAATCATAGAAAATCTTCTCTTGGTTATTCCACATTTTGAATGATCCATTGTCCATTTTCTTAAATTTCCAAATTCTCCAAGGGCCGCGTTTTCCTGACATCTAATCTTCGCCGCGATTTTGATTTTCAAATAAATTTTATTGACAAATATGTTGTAGGTTTGTTATTAATGGTTTTATCGGTAATTTTCGTGTAAAATTTTCTCACTTTAAAATTAAAAATATTTTTGAGAGGAAGGGATAAATTAATGTAGCGAGAAGAGAGGATTTCGGAAATTTTTGAAAATTATTCGTTCATGAAGAAACTTTTTTCTCACCCCCTGTGGGTGGTCATGGTCGTCCTCAACCTCGGGTCCTCTGTCAGAGGCGCGGCAGATTGGGAGTTCTGTGCAGTGTCTTCGCTGTTCCTAACAGCTGTTCTCGATAGAGCTCTCTGATGTTCTCTCTGGGATCTGCTCAAGCCACTTTTACAGTTTAGGGACCACAGTTAATTCAACTGTAAATCGAAAATAGATATAAGTGATGACTACTGGGCGATGGCGATGGCGATGGCTACCGATTGCGACAGCGATTGCTGATAGAGATGATTAAAATCAGTTGATCGCTGGTCGATTTACGTTACGACAACATTAACCAGATCAAAGGACCAATTTGAAATATATATTGATATTTCTATTGATTTTGTTTTGTGATCATTGATTAGGTAAAAAAATCCCTTTTTTCTAAAAATAAAATGTTATCGCATTCATTTTATTCTCAAACTATTTTTTCTAAATTTTCATTAAAATCAGTTTAAAATTTGGTTAAAAACTAAAAGTTAACTAAAAATTTTTATTTGCCAAAATTTATTTAATAAATTTTGCTTTGTTTATCAAAATTCATAAAAAATTTATTAGAAGTTTTTGTTCATTAAAACTTATTTTAATAATATTAAAATTATTTATAAAACTTTATATATTAAAATATAAAGTGAAAACTTTATATATTAAAATTTGCTGAAAGTTCCCCTATTGAAATTATTTCTTCATCTGCTGAAAGTAAATTTAAAGTCGAAATTTATTTGAAAGTTTATTTTAATTTTTTATTCATTTAATAACTGAATGCATTGTTTATGATTTCTTCGAGCCTTTGTTTCGATATTCTTATAAAATTATTTGAACGTTTAAAAAAACGAAGATAAGAAGCGAATTGTGTTCCACAATAGGAACCTATTTATCGATTAATTTCAGGATGGAAGATTTGGAAGAGAACCTTGACAGTAAACCTCTTCGTTTGCCGAAAAAAGCTGCTAAAGTGAAAAATAAGGTGATTATTTTTTAAAATCAATCTACATCATTAATCTACTCTTGCTCACGAAATTACTTATTCTTAGTTTTTTATAATTTTCCTTATTAAAGAAGGAAAATTAAAGAAGGAAAAGAAGGAAAAGAAGGAAAATTTGTGAGAGAAGATAATTTTAAATAATTTTGTAGATTTTAATTGTTTTGCAAATTTTATCGCTTATTTTTACCATCTTTAACGTATTTCATTGCTATTTTTCAATTTTTAAATAATTTTCGAATTATTTTAGTCAGTATCATTGAAATAATTTTAGGCGCCAGCCGCGTTACAAATAACAGCTGAACAATTACTTCGTGAAGCAAAAGAACGCGATTTAGAAATTGTTGCACCACCTCCAAGGACTAAAATATCAGATCCAGAGGAACTTGTTGAATATCAACGTAAAAGGAGGTGGTGTTTCTTTTCTTATTTTTTCGTGCATGGTATACTTTTTTTCCATTAAATTAATTATCAACTCGTTATTCAGGAAGGAATTTGAGGATAATATCCGTAAAAATCGATCTCAAATTGCTAATTGGGTAAAATATGCAAAATGGGAAGAAAATATCGGTGAGATGCAGCGTGCTCGATCTGTTTTTGAGCGAGCACTGGATGTGGATCATCGATCTATTACTTTGTGGTTACAGTATGCTGAGATGGAAATGCGGTAAATAAATTTTGGTATTAATATATTGTTTAACAGAGATTCGGTATTTTAAACCGACAACTAACTTTCGATGCAGAAAATGATGAATATAAGCTTTTATATAAGCTTTATATTTATGTATTTTAAGTAAACAGCGAGAAGACCATGGTCAGAACTTTATATTTTGATTTGGAAAAGTAATTGATATTCTTGAAGGAATAAGCAAGTAAATCATGCTCGGAATATCTGGGACCGAGCAGTTACCATTCTTCCTCGAGCAACTCAGTTTTGGTTGAAATATTCGTACATGGAAGAATTAATTGGAAATATACCAGGCGCTCGATTGGTAGAAATCTTTATATTTTACTTTTATTTAAATACTTTTATAATGTCTGGCCATAAATCTTCAGGTTTTTGAACGATGGCTTGATTGGGAGCCTCCAGAGCAAGCTTGGCAAACTTTTATTAATTTCGAAATCCGTTATAAAGAAATTGATCGCGCGCGAACAATTTGGCAAAGATTACTTCATGTTCATGGATATGACATGAAGCACTGGATTCGTTATGCTAGATTTGAAGAAAAAATGGGCAATATAGGGAATGCACGAACAGTATTTTTATTATTTTTCCATTTGTTAAATTTTATTTCTAAATGAATGAATTTCTAAATGAATTTGGTGGAACTTTTTATGCTAATATTTGATTCTACTCTTAATTTTTTCTATGCATTTAATTTTCTGATTCCATTATCTGTGAAAAAACAAGGTTTATATAATTTTTTAAAGGTATATGAACGAAGCATCGAATATTTTAATGAAAATTTGAGTGATACATTGCTCATTGCTTTCGCCCAATTCGAAGAGCGACAAAAAGAGCACGATAGAGCTCGTGTGATTTATCGGTACCATATTAGATTTATTTGTGCAGTCCGAAAAGCTTCAGTGCAAGTTTTAAATGTATTTGGTGATTTTGAATATTTTCGTAGATATGGTCTCGATCATCTTCCTGCAAATCGATCGGCGGAAATTTTTAAATTTTATACAATACATGAGAAAAAATTCGGTGAAAAAGCTGGTATTGAAAAAGTTATCGTGAGTAAAAGACGACATCAGTATGAAAAAGTAATTTTTCATTATTGGTAGCAATAGCATAATTTAGTGGATATATAAATGAAGCTTCACATTACAGGAATTACAGGAATTGGCGGAAAATTCTTATAATTATGATGTTTGGTTTGATTATATTCGTTTACTTCAAGGTGAAAAACTTGAGCGTGATGAAATGGAAGATACATTCGAAAGAGCCATTGCTAATGTTCCACCTCAAATGGAGAAAAAGTAGTCAATATGTTTTGACTTTTTCTTGCATTATACACTTCCATTTTTTTAAAAAATGATCCTATATTTTCTCCAGGTTTTTTCTTAAACCTTTAATAAGTTGAGATAGTAATGTAATCAGCTTAAAGAAAATGTAAAAATCTGAAGCGTTTATATTATTGCGTCATATGTGCAATAATCATTTTAGTCTTCACTAGTAGTTACTAGTATTTGGTATTTCAGTTGCTAGTATTTTCTTTATTTAATCCTTTTAATTATTTTATTGAAATAGAGAATATTAAGAAATTAAGAAATTATCTGCCTTTGACCACTTTTGTCTAAGATACATTTTACGGGTTCGCTGGGTGTATAGAATCGGTGTATAGAATCTCACATGTTCGTCTTCATCTTCACTCAAATTCCTCTTGCATTAACCATCATAGAGCGTCGCCTTCTTTGGTTGGGACACGTTCTTCATAGTCCTTCACAAGAGTTGACACATATTTAATTGACCCTATGGTTGGTGACCAATTAAAACCTGAACTGATATACTCAGAAAAAATTTTGAACGTATAGGTGGATAAGCAATATATGGACTCAGACGATAGATAAAGGAATGGCTATCGGCAATGGGAAAGGATCGCGCAGCTTGGAAACGTCCTTCCTCTAGTAGCCAATGAAGCTAGCCTAACCAGTAATGGTGGGAGCTGAGGAAGAGGAAAAAGAATTGTTTTATTTGTAATTAGTTTGTTCATATTGTTGAATCGACTTTTTAAAATATAATTATTGACTAGTTTTTTGATATTCATAATTCATGGTTTGTCATGCAAATTAAATAAGTCCAATATTTTATCTTGGTTTTTGCAAAAATGATCCATTATCTCATTTAAATTTTTTATAAATCTCAGCAAACTTTAAATTTTCCAAAAAAATTTGTAAAAAGTGAATAGTGGAACAGTGGAATTTTATGATATTTTATTGGTGTGTGTAATTTCAGATATTGGCGACGTTACATTTATTTATGGATCAATTATTTGCTCTATGAAGAACTGGTGACTTGTGATTTTGCAAGGGTCCGAAATGTTTATAAAATGTTACTCAATGTTATTCCACATAAGAAATTCACTTTCGCAAAAATCTGGATTATGTTTTCTCAATTTGAAATTCGTCAGATGAATTTAGATAGAGCGCGGAAAATTATGGTATGGAACAACATTTGTTGGTTTTGAATTTAGAAATTATTTGCATGATCGAAGATTGTTTTAGGGTACTGCTATTGGTATGTGTCCAAAAGAGAAACTCTTCCGTGTTTACATTGACCTCGAATCGCAATTAAGAGAGTTTGATCGCTGCCGTATATTATATGGGAAATTTCTGGAATATTCTCCTGAAAATGCCACCACATGGATCAAATTTGTTGAGCTTGAAACTTTACTTGGCGATGTTGACCGTGCTCGAGCTATATTTAATATAGCTGTGCAACAGCCTTCACTAGATATGCCCGAGGTGTCTATTTTTAAATTTTTAAAAAATTTTTGCAAATTTTTTGATTGTTTTATTAAAACTTGTTAAATCAGCAAACTTTCATTTTGTGATATTAACCTAGATTTTTAGGTTCTGTGGAAAGCCTATATTGATTTTGAAGTGAATCAAGGGGAGTATAAAAAAGCTCGAAAACTTTACGAAAATCTGCTGGAGCGAACTAATCATATTAAAGTATGAAATTTTTTACTTTATTTTATTCATTCTGTTTAATTTATTGTCTTCGACATCTTGTTTTAGGTATGGGTGAGTATGGCAGATTTTGAAGTTCACATTGGAGAAATAGAAGTTGCACGACAAGTTTATGAAAGAGCTAATCGGGCGCTATTAAATGGTGAAAAAGAGGAAAGACTGATGCTTTTGGAGGCATGGCTGCAATTCGAAAGTGTTCATGGCAATCAGGAATCTGTTAATAGGGTAGGTATATCATGAATGTTATATTTTTTCATCGCATCTGTAATGAATTGCAGAATATTTGCTTTTATTTTTAAAATTTTAATTCTTGAAAAATGGATTTCAACGATTTTCTTTTCTTTTTTTCACATGCATTGTTTATCTTTATTTACTTTATTTCTGATTTAGGTATCTAATTTATTGCCAAAAAAAGTCAAAAAAAGACGACAAGTACAAACAGAGGATGGCCTGGATGCTGGATGGGAAGAATATTTTGATTATATTTTTCCTGAAGACCGAGGTAATATTGTGATAGAGTTAAAGCCTTTTTTCCAATGAAAATAGGTCGTCAGTATTTTTTTTTTCAGAGACTCGTTTTTAATTGACTTACACAAATTTTAGCATCGCAAGCTACTATAAAAATGCTAGAAGCAGCGATGAGGTGGAAGGAAAGATTAATCAGGTCAGAAACGAGTTTTGATCGGGATGAAGTGAAAGGAATTGATGCGGAAGAAAATGAAAATCCAACAGAGAAGGCGAAAAAAATGGATTTTGATTCTCGTGAAGATTCTGATAGTGATATTGATTCATCAAGCGACTGTGATTCCGATTCAAGTTCATCGTCGTCTTGAATTAATTATTAATTATTTTTGTAAGATTATAGTCCTTTCATAATGGAAGCCTGACTTTTAATATACATTTCTATGAAAAATTTTACTAAGAAATATTTAATAGGATTTTTCACCAAGGAATAATTTCTGAAAAAATAATTTTCTGGGAAAGAAGAAAAAGCCATTTAATCGAAAATTTTATTTTGAATTGTATTATTTTTATTGAATGAAATCTTTTCCCCAGTATTTTAAAAGATTTTTCCTTTTTTATTGTGTAAAGTGTAATTTTGATGTTGCAATATATTGTTGCCTTGCCGTATTATATTGTATTATTGTTATTATTTATGAGTGGCAATAAATTTATTTTTCTGCATAAATTTTTTCTTTTTCGTTTATATTCTTTCTCATAAATTTCATTGAATTCTCTTTCAATTTTATAAATTCTTTTTTCCATTGAAATATAATGCTATATTCAGCTGGTGTTTTCTAGAACCGTTTAGGATTTGTGATTTGAGGTTGAGGTAGTTTTTCCTTACTAATGCTTACTAATGCTAACGATTTGATTCAAGAATTAATCCTTTTATTGATAGATTCACTAGAGACAGGATGGCTTAGTGGGTTATTGCTCAGTACGGAGCGCGGATACTAAGTTTCTATTCCCTGCAGGAATAAACCTGTCCAAGAATTCAGAAGATGCTGGTGGCTCACCTGTGTTTCTATCTCTAAGGGATTCTTTGACACATCTGATCTTCTACACGGCAAGCCAGCAGGGTGAGTTTAACCAGTAATGGTGAAAGCTCTTAAAAAAAAATTGGTAGGTTCACTGTCAGGTTTCCTAAGTGAAGGATGTCAGTTGAAATCAAATTAAATTGGCTAAGCTAAAGTGGTGGTGATCGGTAAAATCAGTAACATTTCATGCATCTGATCTAACAGTTTGTTGTTTTATATTCGGAATGATTTGTTTTTTTCTGAATGAGTGTTAATGCGGTGTCTGCAGGTATAATAAATAAACGCTAATTTGGTACTGACTTATGGTGGTGCTGTATTTTCGAGTCCATTTATCAGGTACGGCCCGTGGTGGTCGTAATAATCATTTATTCTGAATATTTTTGTTTGGTTCGTTGATTTTGAGGAATCACTGTTGAAGGTAGAAAAAGTTTGTGTAAATTATATAAATTATTTGTTAATGAAATTATTATTTGTTGACAACAATTTTTGATGTTAAAGTGTTGGAATTCGATTGATTTAAAAAATTAGGCCAATTTTTAGGAAAATAACAAATAATTTCATTAACAAATAATTTATATTTTAGGGATAATTTATTGAAATTATTTTATTTGGATGCTTTAAGTGACAAAAGCAATTGCACTAGCATGCTGCTGGTTTTGAATTATTTTGTAGTGGTGAATGGATTTGATTACGAAAATTTGAAATATTTCTGGTGAAAATTGTATTTTCTGGATTCCCAATGAATGAAAGACAAATGGAACGTGACAATATTTTCAATGAAACAAAACAAATGATATTACCGTTTGCTAAAGGTTTGTTTACAGTTTATGGATTTTTTGTTATTTCAGTGATTTTGCTCGTTTGTGCAGCTTTAACTTATACATTTGTTTTTTTGAAATTTAAAAAATTCCTGTTTCGCTTTTAAGTAATTTTTTAAAGAAATTAGCTAGAAGCTCAATAGAACATTAAAGTAAATTTTGGTTACTGATTAATTAAAAAGTAAAACTGAGTAAAATTATAAATTATTATAAATTAATATAGAGATATCTTTTTAGTGATAATCTTGTTGACTTCGATCTGTAGAATTTTTTCGCGATTATTTGCTATTTGTGAAAAACACAAATCCGATTTCTGATTTTTTATTTGGAGTTTTTATCAATTTTGTTTTTGTCAATTTTACATTTTCGCCTTTTTGAAAATAATATTTAATAGATAAGAAAAACTAGGACATTTTCTTGTGGATTTTAAACTTTTCCTGAGCCCAGTATCCTTTAGATTCTCATAATGTGCGTTCATTCCTACGATGCATGAATTCCATAATGGACTAAATTCTTTTTTTTGATCGATGGATTGTGAAATTATAAGTATCGTAAACAGCGAATGTAAGGAATAAATAAGGAATAAAAAAAGAAAAGGAATTTTTTGTGAAGTCTTAGATCACTATCGGGTACTTTTTCGGAATTTTTACGTGAAATTATACGATACAATCTTTTTCGTCGGCAGAAAACCGTGAAATAAAATTCAGATCATTTCGATGTGTAGATATGATGTGTTAGTAGGAAGTACAATAGGCAGATCGACTCATAAACCTATTTTTTTAATCTTTTTGTCAAATCTGTTGACATTGCACCAGGCATTCCCAATTTCATTGTTGAAATTATCTTTTTCATTCTTTTTGAAATAGATTATTCGACGCTACTTGTTACTTTCGCTTTGTGTGAGTGACAAAAATTTAGACAAAAACATTTGAATTCTGCCTTATCTTCTCTATAACGTGGAAACAGCTACAGTAGTGTTTGTTACACCAAATTTTTCTTCATATTAATGTGGGAGAATATTATTTTTATTTTTTATTTATAAAAGGGCATTCCACCACTCAAATTGATTTATTTTGAGGTAAATTTCATCCTTTTGCAGTTCATGGAATTCAGCATCAAATTTTTGCTAAAAATAGTTCAGTGGTTCAATAATTCATTCAAGCATTCATTAGCTATTTTTATTTAGCTTTTTCAGTTAGTTTTCAGTATAAATATAAGACCTTGAATTCCAGGAGTTATGCAAAATAGCATTAATATCGATGATCTCTGGACAGTTCATTTTATTCATATTCTTATCAGTTATAGCTCAGTTATCCTTCCGATACTGTTAACCGTTATTTATATTCGTCGATTATGGTCAAGTTAGTTTTGATGCCCTCTTATTAATTTCAAAAGACATTTTAACTACTTAATGAAGAAAGTGAAGTTTTTTTCAGTTTCAATCCTTCATTTTTAAAGCAAATTATACCTTGCACCATCTATCATAGGCAACCATCACATGTTCTTTTCAATGCTTTAGCTAGTTTAAGTTGCATCATTTTCAGATCATATTTTTGAACCTAATAATTTTTGGCGATCGTTTCTTATAAGCTTTGCTGTTGGGCATCCACAATATACTTTAGTTTTAAATATTGAACCAAGGTCGTCACTATGCGTAGGTAGAGCTCCAAGCAAACGACTTATTGATGACTGCTTTCGACTTTTAACATATTTCGCATGCCTTCAAATCACTCTTGTACTGATGGGCTTTATTCAAGAGCGTATGATGACTCAGGTAATCTTTTCTTTTTCTAATCTCTTCTATTTGTCTGGCAGTTTTTCGTTTTCACGACCTAAGATCATCGTTTTTGCGACTTTTATTGACTTTTTGTACTGGTTAAATCAGATATGGAAATTTCTGGTATGGTAATCTGGTAAAATTTGGCCGTGGCGATATGCAGATAGTTTTCCTTCAACTCGTTGATGATAATAGTCAGTCTTTGACCTTAACTGCCAATAACTTTTTAGGGTTACGTTTCATCATTGGATCATACAGTTGTGCATCGATTTAATAACGCACAATTTTTAGTATTTGTAAATCGTATTTTCGCTCTCATTCTTTCCGGGTTATATTTATTATTCAACTGGAAAAAGTAAGTTTGTTTTGGGTATTTCACTTCATTCAAAGAAATTTTTCAGTGGATTTTTGTAAATAATTTTTAAAATTTTTATTGTTTCATTATAAACTTTTAGAATTTTAGTGAACCACCTCATATTCCACCTTTATACAAACACTCCTATACGTCAATTTCGAATACTTTATCTTCATGGTGTCAATACGAGGCTCTTAAATATGTTTCATTTCCTACTCAAGTTGGTATTATTTCATATTTAAACATTTTAATCTTTTTTTTAATAAATAGATGATTATAAAATTTATTCCTTTTAAAAATTCATTGTCATAAGTGTTGCACTCAGTGCCATCACTGCCAACATTTCAGACAGTTTTCAAGGCATCAAAGATTTTGCCAACAATGTTGATGGGCTTTATAATCAGAGGTGAACGCTATGGAAAAGTCGACTGTGGTATTGCAATAGCTCTGGCTTCGGGCGCATCACTTTTCTTTCTTTCTAACAGTCTAAAAACTTCTTCAATTGGTTTGCTCTTGTTAGACGTTGCAAACGATGTAGTGAAATCACGCAGTGTTGTTTAGCTTGAATTTTCTCTTAAATTTGAAGATCAAGATGGCTTTCTTTTTTGGTTCAATACGTTGCTGATTATTGAAGGATTTATTGGATTAAATTCAGATCGTGTTACAACAGTTCAAGGTCTTTGTCTCATGATTTCATATCTTGCTTTCGATGCTTTCACTTTGAATTGGCAGAAGTCTTTGTTTGATACTAAGCCGAGATTATCTAAATATCAGGTTTTCTAAATTTATTCACTGGATTTAAAATTTAAAATTTAAAATAAAATTTAAAATTTCGAGGCGAGAATAAAAGTGAAAATATTTTTTTCTGTGTTAGCATCCGTTTTCTACATTTATATCATTTTAGATGATGTTTGGTGTTAATGCATTCAGTATGCTCTTGTGTCTAGCTGTTTTGATTCATGAAGACACTTTGATTTCATCGTTCAACTTTTTTCTTAATCATAAGGATGTTGTCAATGATTTAATTATTTTATCTTTGTCCGGTGCTTTAGGACAGGTTGGTTCCAAACAGATCTTGAATTAAATATTTGAACTTTTATGAAGCGAAAACTGTCACTACATGTTTTTACGACACTATAGTGAATATTATTTATTCTTCCTGAGATACGTTACTTCAATCATTAAACTTTATAACCCCAAAAACATAATCTGGAATTCGACGTTAAAAGTGCCTTTAAAATAGGGAAGACCTTGAGTTTTCAATTTCAGGTTGTTATTTACATGACTATTGAGCGTTACGGTCCAATAGTATTCGCTGTAATGATGACTCTGCGGCAAATATTTTCAATAACTTTATCAACAATCGTTTATGGACACCCTGTCTCTTTCTGCTCGTTAATTGGTTTGACCGTAACGTTTGCCTCAATTTTTTGTAGCATATTTCGCCAGTACTATAAAATTTACGCTTGAAATTTACGCTTACACTTTTTGGCATCATTTAAGCAATTTTTCGTTTTAGCTGTGATCAAATGTAAATTTTGGCACTATTCTTCATAACCAAATTTAAGTTAGCGGATCAATACAAAAACCATTCCAGTAGCTTGTTTGTTTGTTTTTACAGCTCCATTTGTTTTAATGTCTTTCAGTTTGACTAGAAATTTTCATTCTTATTTATGCATCATTTACTTATCGGTTCACTTCATGTTTTTTAAAATTTCCCTCTATTGCAAAATTCTGTGGTGCAAATGCTTTAAATAAAGTTGGAAACTTTTGCAATTCGCTTCGAGTTTGGCAGAAGTTAGTAGGAAATTTACTATATCGTAAAATATACAAATATTAGTGATATCATTTAAACAAGCATTAATCACATCAATATCAAATGTTAGTTCGTCATTAAAGTCAATTTACAACAAAGCCCCTCGTTTAAACTCTTATTTTTGAGTATAATCCGGTTTTGAGAATACTTTTGCATGTTAATTCAATAAATAACCTATAATAAAATATTTCAAATGGAAAACAGAAATATCCGTCATGAAGATAATAAAACCGTTAATCTCCAAAGGTCTTTTCATGCCCAGTAAGAATGCAGAGATCACATTTATCGTCAGATGAGACGACACTTCGCCGTGTTACGACCACCAACCTTAAAAATTTATGAATAAGAAAAATTAAGCAATAGCTAAAAAAGAAGAAAACGAAAATTATTATAATAAAACTGACGAAGAGGAATATTGTATTCCAGAATATTGTGATACAATAATGTTAGTGCTAGCTAATATAAAGAATTTACGGTGCATTGTGTATGATGAAATGAAACACTGCTTTTAGAATTTAGTGGGAAATTTACTGTATCGTAAAATGTACAAATAAGATAAGAATTGTAAGTTCCTTCCCTTAACGATAGCAAAACTTTCTAATCAATGAAATCACTAAAATCATAGTAAACCAACTCTTCAAATAGTGCTCTATAAAAAATGGTTCCAGTGACTACTAGAATAAAGCTTTTCATCATAGAATCACAAGGAGATAGAAGCGACCCCAGCATCACCCCAAATTCGCTTTTAATAACGACGTCTACTCAAATCAAACCGTAATAGACCATTAGCTATTCGATGAGACATTTTCATTAGCAACATCAGATTTTTTAAACGATAGGTTTATTCCTGTCGGAGGCAAGCTGGTACGAGAATCTGAGCAACAACCAATCTGCTATACTGCCTCTACGATAATATAGAAGTCTAATGCAACTATATAAGGCTGTTTAGCCAACTGAAACTATACCCTCGAATTTTCGTCGCATTTTCAACGTAGACTTTGACGCAATGGCTAAGAATTTTCGGATTCCCGTATCTTTTTTTCATAGAATTTGGCAGTTCGAAATTCCTTTTATACTCTTATTTTAAAATCAAGTAAATTCGATGCATAAAAAACAGATCTATAAAAATAAAATTCAGAAATAGTATTAAACTTCAACACACAAATCTGTAAATTCCAGTCAGTGCTTTTTAAAATAGAGCTACCAATTTCAATGGGATTAGAGTGGCCATCCTTCCTCCAAGATAAAAAAAATAATAAGTATTTTTCCTAGCCTAACCGATAACCAAAAAATACATCTAATAAACTTTGCTTGTATGAGCGGTATGCGTGGCAAGACCAAGGAATTTACAACTGAAGTTTAACGATAATGATATCGAACACAATTTTATCAAAAAAATATAAATTTTGTCGTTCAATAATATATATATATATACATATATACTTCACAGTTTCATGTGTTATGAACAAAATCTCGAATTTTTTATGTATTTCTTTCAGTTTACGCATCATCTGCGAATGCCGCAAATTTCACCGAATATTCGGTTAAGCCCAGTATAGGGAAAATTGCAAATAGACGAATTAGCAAAATACCAACATGTGAAATTGTACACTCATCTGAAAGTGAAAGAAGGCTAGCCTCAGGCAGTGCTCAAACCTGTGATTTCCAGATTCAAAATCAGACGCTGTATCCATTGGATATTAAAATATTATTTGAGAAAAAGAGTTTTTTTAGTAACCCACTGCCATTTCTGCCACTTTATACATGTGATCTTCTTTAAAGAAGGTGATGCCACTCGCGATTTCCATAGCTGCAAGGGGCTACACTGGACTGCAATAAACAACTATGGTACAATAAACTTATGTTCGGTTAGTCCTATTTAGCAATTGTCGCAATTTGGTTCTTTTTGCTTCTTTTTACCTTTCTTCCTTTAACTTCTCTCCAGGCTTTTCATTTATACTATCATCGCATTATTTCTTCATCATCAATAACTTCGTTTCTCACAACCGTATAAACTTTCCACCAATAAATAATCGATATAGACGAGAATTTTCGGAAAAAATTAAATATAAAGACAAGAAATATTTTAAACCGTTAGAAGTCAAGACGAAAGTAAAATAAAATACCTGTCGCTACCAACAACTCGATAGAAATTATTTTTATCATTTATATCCTGGGTTATCGAACCATCAAGAAAAGAGCGTCCCTGGAAATCCAGTTATTTCAGTAAAATAGTAGAGATATACTTCAATTTGTTGATACAAAAGTCGTTCTATTCTAGTTTCAATAAGAAGTGTACAGTGTAATTTCATAACATAACAAGTACAATTTTTTTCTATAAAAAAGAGTCAAAATAACGTGTGAAAAAAAAAAATTCATAAACAATACAATAAACGAAACATAAACAGTTATATAGAAAACCAACTTCAGTTTACGCCTAAACCTTGACGTTAGTAGAACCTGCAGACCTATAGCTCTGTCCATCTAAATGCAAAATGTATGGAAAAATTGCTTATTTGAGCGGTTTTTCTAAGGAAAAGGCACTAGGATGTGATAATATGCTAAGAAAATAAGTGGTATTAAGCGGCCATAAGAGGATTTCATGAAATAATTAAGAATAAAAGAGTTTACTATTAAAGCTTACTGGACCAGAATGGAAACTACAATCATACAGTTTTTGGATAGCTTCCGTGATCGTAATTACCAGTAAATTTAAAAAGATTCTTGAAGAAACCGTAAATAGCAAAATAATAGAAAAATCATTAACCAATAAATTATTTCGATATAGCAAAATTTTTTTAGAGAAAAATACTAACAAAAAAAAATCTAAATATACCTGAATGCCATGCGAATGAAATGCAAGAAACGAATCTGTTAAAGAGACCAAATATTCAATTTCAAAATCGAAAGAGAATTCTGTCGGCGATAACCTTGAAGATTTGACAGCACCTTGTTGATTTATGACAACACATCGATTTTTATCACACATAAGTAAAGCATCCTTAAATTCGTATCAATTAATTGTTAAACATAGTTTTATAATTTTATAAACTTGTCTTGATAATTTGCTAATTATCAAAATGAAGTAAATAAAATGAAGTCTATGGGATGGCTGTTGAGCACCCATCTGTGCCTCTATCCCTATTCTATGGTGAATAAATCAAGTAAATCACATACAGTGTAATACGGTTCCATGTATTCCGATGCCCATGATAACTCTAAGTCGATGGTACATATGATAAATATGTGAACAGTACTCGGACATAGTGATAAAAATACTAAAAATGACAATATTCTCGAGCTAACGGAACTATTCTAAACCATTTTAAGGAAATCGGATAAATATTAGCCAGCTCTTTTACATGGAACGAGACCTTGGTAATAGCTGCGTGGAGTGTCAGAACGCTTATAGATGTAGGAAGCCAGTTGATAACCATCCATACAATATCCAAGCATCGTGTAACTACCACTTGTCTTTTACCTATTTTCCTAATTTTATATCCAAATTAATAACTATACATGGTTCCGATATCGAATAACTTAGGGGAAATGGAGCCAAAAAGGCACGATAAGCTCCATCAGTATGAATTAATGACCGATTGGCCTACACATATATTAAAGGCAACATCTCAGACAGCAGTGTTTAAGCTCTTAGGCTTGGATGATTTGAAGATAGAGTTTATACTCAGCACAATTTGCTAATAACATCAAAAAATGATGCAATTGTGGAAAATTGGAATGCTCTCGTAGTACCTCAGGATACCTCACTACCTTTTGTGATCGCGTTGGGATCCAATGTGTCAACAGAAAGCGTCTTCTTCGTGGAGAAGCATGGGCTTTTCTATTACCAGTACATGCTTTCAGCATTGCACAAGATATGTAGTTACCTGAAATTCGCCAGGCAATTAACCCTCGAATCAGATCGAAACTGACTGTTCGGTCAATCGATGAAACAATCCTATATTAGATATTCGCCAATATCGAAAAGCGAAAACTGGTAGCCTGCATGGGTCGGATCATGCTATGGTTAAATCAGAACGAAACTGGCACGAGAAAAACATTTTCCAAAATCCTTTGACTATCTCAAATGAAAAGAATGAAAGATGGCTTAGCACATTTTAAACTGAGGTAAAAAAGCAACCAGACTTCAACATTAGCATCTTTGAAATTGAGGAATAATAGTCCCTGTTGAAGTCCTGCCTCCAGGAGTCAACTAAAATCGTTCTAGGATACGCGACTCAGAAGTTGGGTTCGTTCCTTAAACAAAACAGTCTAGTTGCTTGGCCACGTTGCCAGAGTATATGCCAGGAAATTCTAGGTATTGCTAAGTCTACAGATTTGCAACGGTTATAGCGAAATGGAATAAAAATCGACACTGGAATAATATGGCTTAAATATGGAGATAGAAATTTGAGGCGATTAAAGAAAATTATTCAGCCTATTTCGCTAGACAATTGGAGATTGGGAAATAATCAGTGAAATTATCCAAGAAAATAAGACAGACCAATCAGCATCCTGAATATGATTGGAATGCATTTAGTTGTGTGGATGCGAACCACTGTATGCCAATAGAAGCGAAGGGGAAGATGACGATGCCAGTTAAATTTTTTAAATGCTACTCAAGGTCCTTCACTACACACCTACAAAAATTATTTTCACTGATGAGAAATGTTGTATGATTGGAATAAGGCAATTCAATTCTGCGTCCCAATTCCCAAAAAAGGCGACAGAAAGGATGCATTATGACAATTATCCAGGAATCAGTTTGCTAGATGTTTCCGCCTCTTGCTGAGTGGATGGAAGTGCTTAATAGCAGAAAATGTCCTAACTAAGCCGTGGGTTAGAACCTAGCCAATTCTCACATTGAGACGTATTAGATCATTTAAAATATGGATAATCTATCTAATATCGGTTCTGCCACTGCTTTTGATTAGATCAACAGAATGGAAATTTGGCAAGTCATGCAACATGATAGCATTCAAGAGAATTACACTTATTAAAACATCTTGGGAAGCATATTTATCTGTGCAAGGAGAACTGCCATAAACTTTCGAAATACATAACGATGTAGTTACGAGGAACTGCAAAAGATGCTAGAAAGAGGGAGCGAAAACTGACCTTCAAATCAAAGTAAATAAAATGAAACTCAGATATAATACCATTTACCAATACCAAAATTCATCAAACTCATCGACGGACGGAAGAAATGTCTAAATGCCTCGAAATCTATCTTCATACCTAAAAATCAAGCGAGAAATGAAATTCCAGTTCGAAAAAGTGCATTCTTTGAGATTCTTTCGTCGGGTGAAACGCCTCTGCAGTCGCTAAGAAATCACCTTCAAAATAAAAGTTCGCATCTACGTGGCTGTATTCCGTAGAACCGTATCATACAATTGCGAAACTTGACCAATGAGACTGGAATATATCATTTGCCTTTGATCATTCTTTCTTAAGGTTCCTATGTATCTATCAAGTGGATAGAATCCCACATAACTGCGTCTATCTTCGCTTGAATACCACCTGCATTAAGAATTTCATCACAAAGCATCGCTTGATTAGGTTATGTTCTTTACCGTCCACAGAAACTGACACATATCTCGCTCCTAGCTAAACCAAAATCGAAGAGGATCAATCAAGACCTAAACTGACAGACCCAGGAAAGATTTTGTACACAAAATCGGCTCTGTGATATACTAGCTAGATGATGGAAAAAAAGTGGCCTCAGTCATATCCAGGAATGGCAACGGAACAGGAGGATTGGAAATACCTTGCCCTAGTTGCTAGTGGAGCGAGCCAAACTAACAATGGTGGGAACTTCCAAGAAAAGATTTGTAAAGAAATACTGATAAAAATGGGATTTAAACTGAACCACTTTACAGATTTCTTTAATGCGTGCAGATCGAATACGAATTGCACATAAAAGCCATTTTTTAACATTAATATACTGCGATTATAAAAGATTATAATAAAAGTGTAAACTAATTAGCAAATCAAAGTGCTAATGAATACATATAATAATAAACAGAATAATAAAATTAGAAAATACTTTATCTATTTGCTTGAGGACCACTGAATTCAAAGGAGTCGTAGAAGAACGTGCTTCTTCAATGAGATCGAAGTGGTTTCTTCCATTATTAAAACTGAGCATGTGCAAATAGTATTTGCGAGAAGTTACTTTATATACAGCCAAACATACCTAAACAATTATCTTCAAAAAGATTAAAAAAAGAAAAAGTGATAAAAATGAATAGTTCACCTTTGGAAAATCTCCATCAGTATCAGCAGAATAAATAAGCTGAAAAGGAGGCAACGGAAAATATGGAATGCGCATATCAATAGTTTTTAAAGCAAAAAATTTTTCCAACGGTTCGTACCACTGGAACAAAGTAACAACAAATGGTGTTGCGCAGCAGAGATAGATATTGCCATTAACACCACTTCGAACCACACTGCATTGTAATGTATCTCTATAAAAAAATCTTATTATGAGGCAAAAAACGTTTTCAAACATGAAATGAATAAAGAAGTGAAAAAAATGGCAAATAAATGTGCTAAAAACGATAAAAAACAAATCAGAATACTTCGTTTCAGGTAAACGAGTAGTTATTGCAAATTTTTTTGGGACAAATTTCTCAGGAATTTTGTTCATAGGCTTCGAAAGTGTACGTGCCAACCCTTTTTGTGTTAACGCCAATAAATCATGCCGGTATAAATACGGTGTTTTGCCTGAAAGAACAATTTAGACATGCCAATCGCCGTAAATCATCGCTGCTAATATTCTGCTAGCATTTTGTTCTTTTTCTGATGCTTTTTATTGTTTTTTCAGCTTTAAATTATTTTATTTCAATCAAAATAGCTTTAAAGAAAGTTCTATATCCTTCTAATAACCAATAAGTACTGAAGCTCCACGAAATTAAAGATCTGAAGATTCTGCTGGCCTTTTCAAATTCATTTGATAAATTGCAAGAGATTCTTTGTCAAATATGGTCTTAAATATAAACGAGAAAAATTGAGAAAAATTTCTTCCGAAGTGAGACAAATAATAATTCTTGATAATAAGGTGAAATAGGTTGATAATAAGGTCTGAAGGCCGAAGGATGCGAATCCAATAATAATCAATTTTGCAGAAAAGTCGACTGATGAAGCAACTGCAGCAGGGAATTAGTCGTGAAGTTCTAAAGCCATTCATCGATATGGTAGAAAGATGACCACCAAGAATCAAATGCCAAAAATCCATTTGGAAAATAACGCAGCTTTTATATTGCGCAGTAAGAACACTCGTTCTGCAATATATGCCTTACTATTGTTTCGCAAGAGCTCTGCAACTTGAGAGAAAATTAAGAGATAATATAGATTGTAACATAACAGACTGAATCAAGAAGCAAAAACTCATGGTTAGTGACCTACAAAACATTGAATTACGACGCCCGCAGCATTGGTTTCAGTTATATACACAGTTTCCCAGTTTCAGCCTTTGGTTGGTCCATTCAAGCAATTTCCTTCTTGTCTTAACATAGCTTATAGGCTTTTCTTAATGTTATGATAAATGTAAATTAAGCAAGTTGTAACTGTTTTTGATGGAAAATAATAACAGTAAACATTCCGTGGAGCACAAGTTACAGTTAAACTTGAATAATAGGGTAATGGACTGAAGATATGAAACCTATATTGAAATGATGCTTTCTCTCTTGAAGGTGTTAATTATTGGATTAAATTGTCTTCAGACGCAGTATTTTTATAATCAGCACCTATTTTTAAAAATAAATTGAATCGAGTCATCCATAACATTATTCTACAATCCTCACTCCATTACTTTATATCTAGTTACTTATTTTTTGTTTATTTTTATTTGTATTTTTGTTGTTTTTAAATTTGTACTGTTTAACGCTTTTATTCTTTTATATCAATTTCGTATTACTCCATTCGTTGTTATTACCAAATAATCACTTGGTTATTGCTTCGCTTGATCCTCTTTAAATAAATAAATTATAAATGAAAAAAGACAATGAAATTCGACAACTAAATGGAAAAGTGAGTCGTTAGCGCTCACCATTTCCGATTCAGCTGGTCTCGCTCGCTCATGGTCAGAAATTTTAGCTAAGGATGTTAATTGACGCCAGAGATATAGATGAGCCACCAGCCCAGATTTTTAAATGATAGGTCTCCTGTCGTAAGAAAAAGCCAAATCCTTACTCTTCAACAAGATAATCAATAAATAAGACAAACTAGTAAAAAAAACCAATTAACCTTGAACAGCCATAAGGGTATTCTTTTGCACATATAACCAGGCACATCTTTTTTTATGAATTAGAACCATTGCTGCATCGTATAATTCATTCATATTCAAAGTGAAAATTCCTTCTTCTGCACCGATAATAAGAAGCTGTCGAAAATTGCTTTCATTCGTCCACGTTACAGTGCAATTAATGTGGAGAGGACAATCGCCGAAAATAAGAGAGAAGCAAGCTCCCATTATTATCTATTAAAATAAAAATCAAATCTAATTTTCTAGTTTTAAATTATAAAATTATTACTTGTCCACTGCAAAAAAATTACTTTAGGAGTAGGTGGCAGGCCAAAACAAGTGACTGGTCGCGGTAAAGCTGAATTTGAAAATTCACTGGAGCGGTAGGCTATATCTGAGATCAAGCAATGAGAACGTGGCGATTCTAATGATGATGAACGCCTTGATATATAATGTTTTGTGCGAGGAGGACGTTGAGGAATTGAAAATTCAGAAACAAAAGAATCTATAAAAACTAATCATAAATTTTTTTTTTAAACAGCATTTATAAAAAAAACTTAAAAAAAAATTGTCGAAAAATTGAGAAGTGCTCTACCTCCACCACTGATCTGATCTGATGGTCTCAACGGCACACCATCGAATGTAACTTCTTTATCATCATTTGACAAAGAAAGTGCTTGAACTACATCGGGTAATGATGGCTGTATCTTTGCAAGTAGGGTGTTTTGCTATAAACAATATTAATAACCAACGATATTAATAAAGTACTTATAACTAGTGAAAATTCCGTCCAACGGATGGTTAAAATTATTATCAAACCTTCGCGCACTTTCTCAATATTTATCCTCAAAATCCATTGTACTCCTTCCAGACTTAATACGCTATCCCAGTATCTGTCAAATCCTTATGATTCTCCCCCTTAACACCTTCAAATTCTTGGTATATCCCCACCATCATAATTTTACCTTTTATAAATTTACAGTTTATAACCGAGCGTGTGGACTTCGAAGTTTGATGGAACATTGAACAAATAAAATGGGAGTTGATGATATGGTATTACGGTTTGGATGATATGGTATTACGGTTTAAGTAGCAGAAAGAATTCTAAAATAATATTACTACTAGATTATGGTAAACATTTGAAATACCTGGCTTTAAAAAACTTTAAAATATTAAGAAATAAATTTTAGAGAAATAACAAAGAAGTAATAAATTTTTGCGACAGAGACGCTTGTAGATAGAAGTTTCCCATCACTGATTGGATTTTTCAAAGCTTGGGATCCGAATTATGATTACAATGGTAATCTATGCAAAAACCACTCAAAGTTCCGAGGAAATTATGAAATAGTGCAGGGTTTGAAAGGTTACATCTAATATCTAACAGGACATTATTAATGGGCCAAAGAACGACTTTGGACTTGGATCCTAAAGAAAAACAACTGGATTTAGAGGGACATGGATGGAAACTAACTGATACTGGGGTAGAATTTTAAAGAAATTAGACAGATTTTCAAAAAAATAAATGAGTTTTTTTCACACATACAAAGTGTGTTGAAGGCATATTTGGTGGCGTTTGGGAAGACCAAGGAATGAGAGGTCTTAGGGACAGCAATGATTCTAAAATAGGGGATCGAGGTATAGCAACATAGGACTTTTTAAGCAGTATTTGTGGAAGAACCTTGGTGCCATAGCATGCTACAATGCCATAGAGCAACATAAAAAGCCAAATATAGTGGATATATTATAAAGGAACCTAAGGATGATAAACCATGTTAATAAAAAACGGCAGAATGGCGCAATGCGTTTTTGCTTAGTTCAGAGCTCCGATGCTGAAGTTCTATTCCCTGCAAGAGCAAAACTATTCCAAATCCGAGTGATGTTGGCGACCTCACTTCACCTGTATTTCAATCGCCAAGGTATTCCCTGGCATATCTATCAAGTACAATAAGCCAACTGAGAGAGCCCAACCAGTAATGGTGAAGACTCTTAAAAAAAAAAACATAAAAGGACGCGATGAGGTGCAATAACGTGTTAAATAAGATTAGAAAGATTTTGGAGATATGGAAGATTATAACAGGCCCTGAGGAACTTACCAATAAAAGTATTGTGTAATGATCTATAAGAACGGTCTACTTTAAGAAAATAAACGAAGGTTCACGGTGATGTTGCTAATGGATGATACTATAGCGAGATTTGAAGGAGCATTTAAAACAGGTTTCGAAATTAGAGAGGGGAGAACTATTTTGAAAGGCTTGAATGATTAAATATAATCGAAAAATATATTACTAACGTTAGAGTGAAAATAGTACGAAGTGGGAAGGGTTATAAAACAAAAGAAACTAGATAATGTACAGGTGACGATGCTATATTATTGGGAATGGAAAGACCTCGAAAAATGCATTTTTTTTACCAAATACACAAGAAAATAGTATTATGTTATTACATGGACACTAATAATAAATGAACAAATTTTAAAAAAATATAATTTACTTCACAATATCTTCGCTGAACTTTTTCGGATACGAATCCCAATCTTTCACCAAATATTTCAGCCATGAATGGACTTGAACCATTTATCCTAGTCGGTTCACGTAAAGTCATAGGATTAAGTTTGCCATTTGATGTGATATGAGATAAAAGTTTGGAATTCGCCTTAATTTTATCAAAATCTCAAAAAACATAACAGAAGTAGAATGAAGAGAATTTATAAATAATTTGGTTATACCTAGAGCCTTGTATGCTAAATTTGAGAAAAGTCAGCCTATTTATGAAACTCATGCATTCACTAGATAAGTAAAAACCTCATCATTTTCTTCTGCATCAGTAGAACATCGCTGAGAAAGAAGTGAAATAAACGAGCCACCAGGATTGTTGACTTTATCCAATAAATCACGAGCCATTCTAGAGGATAATGCGCCCAATATGAAATGATGAGTCTAAACTGCATATGAAATATTTGACTTAACATAATATATACATATATATAAAAATAAAAAATTATGGTACTGGAAGTTTACCTTAAGGAGTTTGTCAGGAGTAGGTCTTTTCTTTGGATTCTTGGTCAAACATTGCCTAACAAAATCATGGAACAGGGGAGACCTGAAAATAATTTTAAAGAAAAGCTTTCTGCACAATTAACTTTCCTTACCGATAAACAATAGGAAACAAGCAGCAATATAGTTGAAATAGCAAATAAATGGTTAAAAAATCGGAAAATTTTCAATTGACATGAAATCTCTACAACAGATATAAAAAAGTCTTACCAACGATATTTTTCTTTAAGAGTAGGGGGCTTGTATGATGATTTTGTCATAAGAGAAAGCACTTGCATTGGTTGGAGATCAAAAAGTGGTGGTTGTAATTCAGCTAGCTCAATCGCTGTTATCCCAACAGCCCATACATCACATTCAAATCCGTATCCACCACGCCTTTCAACGCAAGCAACTTCGGGAGCCATCCTAATACATATGAAAACGGTTAAATCATAATTAAAAAGCAGCAAATTCACTGAGCATGGACTGAATAAATAGCAATCCGACTGGAATCTTCGAAATAATAATTTTAAAAAATGCAGAATGAAATTTAATTTGGGATATGAAATTGAAATGTGGGCATATTCTCTCTTCAGTATAACTTTTCAGTGTGATACTAATGCTCAAAAAATTGTTGCGAAAAATGTTTCGAAAGTAGGCGGCAAAGTCTTTCTCTAATAATTACAGTTACCAATAAGGAGTGCCAATAAATGACTTGCGTTTTGCGATTGTGGCAGTTATTCGCGCAGCTATTCCAAAATCAGCTGCAAAAAAATGTTATATAGTTTTATTAAGTTAAGTTACCAATAATCAAAAAACTCAAAATCAGTTCAATTAAAATTAAAGTAAATTACTGTTACTTTAGAGATTTATAGATTTATAGATTTAAATAATATACCTAATTTGACATCGCCTGACTGAGTAAGAAGAATATTAGCCCCTTTAACATCACGGTGAACCATTCCTTTTGAATGAAGATGTTTCAAACCTTTAAGAGTTTCTCGACAAACATAAGCGATTTGCAATTCAGATAGAGGACCGGTCACTGAAAAATTCAAAAGTTTAAAGTTCAAAGTTCAGAACTATTTAAACAAACTATCTAACTAAAAAGAAACAACCATTAAAATGCCTTCCAAAGATGGTCTTCCATCGATGAACTTTTTCCCTTATTTTTATTTTTAATTCCTATATTTCTTATTTTTTATAAAATTAAAATAACTAAAAAAATCACAAAATACAACCACAGTAAAGCAAAACAAATATAAAAATGATATTTGTGCGAGATTAAACAGGCGAAATCTTACATAATTATATAAATTTTCAAATGCAAAGTGCTAACTGCGATATATATCTTGTAAAGAGCCACCACTGCAATATTCCATGACGATCCAGAGACGATCACGTCGAAGATAGCTGCCATAATATGCAACAATATTCGGATGAACGCATTCCTTAATCATGAGAATTTCTTGCTGTATAACCATAAAATTATCGCCAGCTTCCAGCTTAACAACTTTTACTGCAACAATTTCTCCTGACCTGTAAATTTTTAGATCAAAGTCTTAAATAATAAATTTTGGACAAAAATGTACTACGAGAATTCATTAATGAAAAAAATCAATGAAAAATGCCAAAGAAAACCAAAATTCCAAACCTTATACGCCTCGCCTTATAAACTTCGCCATAAGTTCCATAACCAACTCGCTGGAGGAGCTCATAATCATCAGTTGGATCACCTTTAATAATTAAATCTGGATGCATTACCCTAAATAAAGATAATGTACAATCAACAAATCCAGAAAAAAATAAAACAAAATAATCTTACATCGTTTAAAGCTTATAGATGTCAAATGATCGCAGCGGGGCACATATCTCTACTTCTATCTCCAAGTGACAGGGCAAAACTATCGATATGCAAAACGACAATAGCCAATGGAGAAATTTGCGCTGGCAGAAAAAGACAGCCAATCATAGGATAACCAAGAAGCCACTTTCTGTACAAAACTCATTCGAAACCTACCTCCTACGTGGTAAGTAAGCAAGAAAATTCATAAAAAATGATAACATCAAACCCCCGGTGATGATGAAGAACCATCTGCACTCCCATCCACAAATAATTCACTGGTGAAAGGACTTATCAATCTCATCCCAACAATCGGTGAAGCCAACCAAACCAGAAAGAATGAGAAATGCCGCTGGAAGGAGGAAAAGAAAATGCCAAACATTTAGTGATAAACATAATGAAGCATTGATGAAACCTACTTTACAAGACGAATCCGTAACCAACAATTCGTAACCAACAAAAATACTTTAAAAAAAAGAAAAAAAAAGCAAACTATAAATTCAAAATAATCCATTTATAGATAATTCCATATGACTAAAAGTCGGTCTAAAAGAACTTTCGGGCTGTGAAAGAGCGACGAAGCGGGCCTTAAAACGTTTAAGCTACGTGGTTGTCATTGTGGTTTCAGTTATTGGTTACTCGTTGTTTGTAGGCTTTTGGATGGATTAGGAGAGACTAATTGAAATGAAAGGGAAGCGCTTGATTGACTGGAACCTTTTCAAACAGTTCGCACCATAGTCTGTTGGAATGGTTCCACCGGCCAATGAAACCTTTTCGAGCTTCTCGGTCAGCTACATTATTTAAAAGTAACTGATACACTGAACACAGCTGGGACGCAGACGCATTAAAAATCTCTCCTGAACGTCTCTTCCCACTTTTTCTTTTAATCATCCGTTAAAGGCCTTCTCTATGTTGTTAATGAAGTATTCGAGCGAAGGTGAATGCAATCATATAAGATTGTATCACTTAGAGTGTATTTAAAATGCGCCTTGGGGAAATAGTTGGAAGGCATTTGGGTTCTAAATACCGTCTTACCGTCCATAAGTCATGTTCCGCAGCCACATAACAGGATATTGCTTACTTCAACTAGGTAGATGCGGAATGTCGCAAAAGTTGCTTTCGCAAAAGTTTGGCCAGATAAAAGAGAGCATTCTGGAACTATCTGGGCGGTTTGAAAGTGATTCTCCTGCAGGAGCAACCTGCCATTAAAATGCGAGTGGTTCTGGCGGTCCTTCATTTCTATCGCCAGATGGCAAAATGGTGAGAGCCAACTTTTTTTGCTTCTTCATCCGACAGTGCGTTTAGACAGAAGAGTTTCATCTTATTTATTCTGATATCGATTTTCACTGTAGTCATTGGTAAATCGGTATACGATCTAGCTTCTCTAGTAATGTTTATAATCGTCGTCAGCTTTTCAAAAATCCTTGGATTGATTTGCACTTCTCCTCAGACACTGTCCATGGTCCATTCTATCTCATACTTTGAACATGATAGAAGAAATAAATCAGCATTGACTTAGCTCTTGCTTCGAAAAGAATTAGCCCCTATAGTCGTTCTGGTATTGACTTTGGCGAAATCATTTGATAAGTCTTATAACCTCTTGTAGACTACTGCAAGGGTACCAACGTGACTCTCCGATTGGAGATTGCGCCAGAAACAGTGAAACAGATGTCGGCTACGTCATTTCTCCTATTATGTTCAAACTATGAGATGGAATGGTATGCCTGCTTACCATTTAAAATAATGTCCCGCAATTTCATAGAGTTATTGTTCAGTCAGCACATCTCTTAATTTATTGTATTAAGGCTTATTCTGTTGTTGCGTGCTGCAGCAATTCCGCAGGAGATATGCTGTAATCAGTTGTAATTTGAAGATGGATATTAGACTTGTCAGTATTCTTTCTATCATCTTTCTGTGGAATTAAGAGTTCTTCCGTTATACTTTATGAGTTCTTTTTAGACCAGCGAATACAACCATTGAAGGTAAACCGCGAAAGTCGGTGAAAAATAAGTTTCTGAATAATGGCTGAAGGATTCCGTGACAGCAAATTTGAATTATTTTATGTGCTGTTGTGACGGTTTCACTTAATTTGGGACATGTCTGGATTATGTATTACGATTAGATTTCGTCTTAGAAAACTCTTCATCGTAGGAAAGGTGATGTTTGAGAGCCATAATAAATCATCATCTCGGACTATTTCACCATATGATATTTGTGGATAGTTGTTTTACAAAGAATTTGAAACGCTCTTCGATTTTCGTCTGTTTTAACATTCATATCCATGTTCAAGACCATATCACTTTTTATCCAGTTTGCCGCTGTTATATTCCTTTTAAGTGTTCGGTAATTAGGGTCTCCTGGCATTGAGCTTTATTAGTCTTTCAGAGAGATTGATTGTTTCTTCCAGGCTTTTACTTGCTTTGTCCTAGCATGGATTTGGCCAACATTGCAGGCAAGTTTTAGATCAGTACTTGCCCTTTCAGAGGTTCCATTGATGTTTGGATCATTCAGATATTTCGATAATCCAACTGAAATATGTTTACGGTCTCTCAATTTTTTAGCTTAAGAAAGAAGATTTTGGGGAGTTGTTTCTGCACGTTTTCACCTTTTTGTGGACCTTAGTCTGAAAATAATATTGCCGTTAAAGGATGTCAGTTCTAACGGCGTGATAAGAACCGTTATTTGGTATGGAACTCAGCGATGATTGATCTAGTTAATCTAGTTAATCTGCATATTGGAAACTGTTATCACCTGCGAACTACATAACTTGGTGTGATAGCATCGCGTTTTTTAATTTTTGTGGGAGTTATGTACATCGTTGGCGGAGATATTATAGAACTTTTTTTAAAGGACTTCGGCTATCACACGGGTAGCACAAGTGATATAATAGCTTAATGATTCGCAAAGTATGGATAAGGATTTCTGAAGATCCACAAAGCTCTTTAAGAGCCCATTGAGGGAAACCATTTTCATAATAAAACTATATATTCTATGTATAGTTAAGTAGGTATATAAAGTAGGTTTACGCGTAATTTTGAGTGAACTTGTAAATTTTATAATTGAACATTGAACATGTTATTAAAGAAAATAGATATATTCCAACAGAGTAAATGAGTTTAACACACATGAAAAAATGTTTTTCGGTGGACCTTAGTAATTTTTAAGACTTTAAAGGAGTATTGAGAGCTAAGAGTTTATGAACCACAAATAGGAACTTTTATTAGGCAAATCATAACCACTTGCAATAAGCCTTTTGACATTGAATGCAACGGTAGCCAAGGCCTCGTTTTATATTTTCTAAAAGCGATCCAGTTATGCTCGCTGCACTAAACTGTAGATTGTAGAACTGTAGAATGTAGAGAGACAAATTTTGTAAGGGAACCACTTGGCGATAGAAATACAGGTGAGTCGTCGGTATCATCGGAATTTTTGAATTTTGTAGACTTTCATCTGCCAGGAGTAGAATCCCAGCATGGGCGTTCCGAAGCGAAAGCAACAACTGTTCTGTCCAGTTTTCTTGCTTTTTGAGATCTGAAAAGCATTAGATTCTCGGCACAATTTGTTTATTGCTTGTGTCACTGAGATAAGGGTACTATGTGCATCAGAATAAGTGGAGTCTCTTGTCCTTCATGACCTATTCAATAGGGAGTCGTTCAATATGACCTATTCAATAGGGAATAAGGTGCCAGAATTCCCGATAACTAGCAAGATTCAGCCAGTTTTTATTCCAGATTTAAAGCTTGGAAGTATCATATATATATATATATATATATATATACATTTTTTTTTTAAATTTCATTGTCCATTTTATTATTTTCTTCAAATTTAATTTTTTTTTTGTCTTTGGCAGGAGTAAATCTGCTATTATGTCAAAAATCCGGGTGGTTGCTGGGGACCCACCTGTAACTCTGTCCCCAAGTGACTCTATGGTAAAAGGGTCAGAAACATTTGATACGGCGTTCGCGTCTCCCGACACGCATGATACTTCGAGCCCGGTGGTACATGCGATAAGTTTACAATCCGGGCTTAAAGCGATCCCAAGGATGATAAATAAAATGTGCTGTCAAGCCAGGGTAATTGCTCGAAAACTATCAAGAAGGGTTAGCCGTATCAGCGTGGAACGTTATAACGCTTATGGACGTTGCAAGCCAAGATCACTGTCCACACCCTGTCTAAATATTGTGTGGATATCGCTTGCTTGTCAGAGGTCCGTCTTCCTCACTTTGGGTCTCGAGAAATTATTAATCCTGGTTCAGAGCAGAGATACTGGCTATATCACTGTGGTGCTTCGAATAACTCGGGACGAAATGACGTAGCGATTGTCATGTCCGACAAGGCCCATTCCGCTTTGATTGAGTGGAAACTGACCGTATGGCCTACTCCCGTTTTAAAGATAAGTTCTATGCGGAACTTCAACTGCTAACAAGGCCTCTACGGAAACATGATATGGTCATAATCGGTGGAGACTGGAATGCGTGCGTAGGTCATAATGCAGCTGCGATGACCTCAACAATTGGCAAATGTGGCATCGGAGATCGGTGTGCCAATGGGGAACGTCTTCTTCGTTATGCCGAAGAGCATGAACTTTTTGTTACTAATACTTGCTTCCGTCATCATAGAAAACATCTAGTCAGCTAGAACTCCCCGGACAACCAACATTTCAACCAGATTGATTATATCTTATTCAGTCGTCGTTGGAAGAGTTCCGTACTAGATAGTCGTTCCTATCGCGGAGCTGGAATGGGCAATCTTCATGGATCTGACCATGTTATGGTTCAAACCAAGATACGCATAAAATTGACAACTGGAAACAGGATCTCCCAGAATCCTTCAACTATCTCAAATTCAGGGGCAGTGAGTGCCTTTCAAACCGAATTATTGAAGCATTCTCAATGATACAAATATCAATGATTTTTCT